ATATTTGCAGCTGTCAGATGTAGAGCGAAGGAATCAATACATCGACACAAAGGATCATATTTTCACGGAGATGCGCTCAAATCGCATCGTTTGCTGTCCAACGTACGTTGACATTGAATTTACTCACTGGTGCGGCATCATTTTTGACATGGAGCGCAAAATTGTGTGGAAGTATGATCCGCTCCACAAAAAATCGATTTTGGATGCAGTGCAAGAGGTTATAAGTGGCGTTTTCATGAAATTTATGAGCTCTCACATGGAGATGCAAGCTAAAACATTTACTAATGTGATGGACACAGCTGTGGTGTATTGGTCGTGCAATGGTTGGAGCAGTATTTGTCGAAGCACACCTCCCGATGCAAGCATTCCACTTGCCCACGATGATAAACTGGATCCGAAGCAACTAGCATATGAGAGGTACAAGCATTTCTCGTACGTATTGGATAGCGTAGTGACCAACGTCGATACTTAGCATAAATAAACCATCTTTAGTCTATGAGTGAGAAAGATCTTCAAATTCATCTTGGGCTTAACACTTAGTGGGTTTGAGGAGTGTGCTGCAAGTCACTTGTGTAGCTACATAATACATGTAGTAGAGAAAATTCTCTAAATACCACACAAGATCGGTAGCGTTTTAAGGCATACCGATTCACTCTCGTCTGCTCTATGCACAAAATATTGGTGAACGTAGGGAGAGCCTTTTTTTAAAGGATGTTGAGTCGCTCTACATTATGCTCTTATTTATTGTTTGATCACTGAACATGCCATAATGTATGTATTGGACGCCTTTCAAAAATGGTTTAAACACCCACTTTATTTACCGTCGGTATGCTAGGCGTAGAAGAAGTGTATGCTCATCATATCGGCCTAAGCACGCACCACAATTACCATACTGCCGACGTTTTTGTCCTGATATAAGTGTCCAGATTCTGAGACTCCTACATGCTAACAGACATGTACCTGTCACTTGCTGCCGGACGCGCCTCCGGTGCTTTTTTCCATGTTTCTCGCTGGATTTGCCCACTTTCGAATTTGCAGCTTCTACCGTAAAGATGGATGAATGCACGGAGGAAGCACTTGTGTGGCTTTCACAAGCCATGGCGCACGTGGAGGCGGACCTAGTTGCGGCTCGTACAGAGATCTACAAATTGATGTTGGAGGAGGCGTGGTGTGTAGCCATGAGAAGCAGGCACTACTTGACGGCCCAGTGCCTGGACACGCCGAGTAATTCAGCTTGGATGGCTTTGTATACGCATGGAAACGACAAAAACTTCCTAAACGCCACTAGCTTGACGAGGTAACGTTCATTAGCAACTAATGAATCTATGGAGATACTAACTCTGTTGTGTCTTAAAGGACGTCGTTTGACCAGCTTCTGGGAAGATTTTCGACATTCTACAGGATTCGCCAGTCAAATGCGAGGGGCAGGCCGCCGAAGTTACGCTATCACCACCAAGGACTTGGTCTGGTGCTCTGCTTCTACGTTGGCTCAATGGAGATCAGCACGCTATGCATGCTGTTTGGGGTGCCTCCCAGCACCATGGTGCGAGCGCTACGCAAAGCTGAGGAGGCGTTGGCGAGCACGCTGAAGAGATACACCCCCTCAAGGATTGCTTGGCCGTCGCCAGCCCGCCAAATTGAGCTGGCCCGACGTGTGGAGGGCCGCGAGCCGTTGCTTCAGCACACGTTCGGATTCATAGACGGAAAAAATCTGCGGGTGCGGCTATATTATCATTGTATTACTTTTAAAGTTTTCTAATTATCCTAACCGCACTTGTGTGTATCTGTAGGTCATGCAGCCGTCGAATGCAGACATGCAAAACGCCATGTACAACGGGTGGTTGCACTGCGTCTTCGTCACGGGGACAATTTGCTTTGCGGCGGACGGGTGCATCATCTGGAGAAAGCACAACTGCCCGGGGTCTTGGAACGACTCGGACACGTCGTTGGGATTTCGTACAAAGCTATTGGACCCGAAGTATTGTCCGGACACAAGGATGAATGTCGTATCTGATTCCGCGTTCCCGTGTTCGACCGAACTAACCGGCCGCATTCTCACGCCACTTAAAGACGGGGACATCGAGCGAATTTTGCCTTCACTTAGAAGTTCTGCCAGGACACTTCACAATGCCATAACATCGGTGCGCCAGGCCGCGGAGTGGGGCATGGGCAGCATGCAGAAGGTGTATAGTCGTCTTAATCTTCCGCTCCCGTATGACCCCGAACGCCGCGGCGTGCGCATCGACAACATTTTCCGCATGTCTAATTACCGTGTGCGTACGGTAGGCATCTCGCAAATCCGGACGACTTTCTTGAGTGAAATGGATATGATGGCTGCAATACAGTAAGTGCTCCTTGCATTTGAGCGACTAACCTGCAACACCAAGCTACCTGTCGCTAAGCAGTTTAGTGTAATGGCAATACGTGCAGCTTTGTAATGAACATTGAAAGTATTTGAATTTGAAATTGACAGAGGCTACGTTAAAATTACTCTACATGTGAATGAACCTCGACGTTCTGCTGTGAGTCGCAAAAGAGAAGTCCATCCTTACGCTTTCTTTGACAAAGCACCAATGAGTAGGATCAGCTCTTGAGTACGTGCGCGGGCTTCTTCCTTATCGCGGCGCGTTCGCTCCTCCATGTCTTGGACGTTCTGGCCGCTGCGCTAACAGGAGTCTATACCCCGTGTTTCGCGGACGCTTAGCTCGATCGAGCTCAAGCTCTCCTAGATACTGACCCAGAATTTCTCCGACCCCAATCGTCTCCGCTGCAACGACGCCTAGAGCTCGCGTTCGTACATTGCGCGCCAGGAACACCTTGGCTGACTCCACCAAACCGTTCCCACAGTGACCCAAGTAGGGGCAGCAGTTGATATTGCAGTACATATGCATGAGCGAGTTGGTGCATGTGCCAACACGACAAGCCGATCGGCACCCGCACGATCCAAAGTGAGGAACATGCGGGAACACAATTCCCAACGGGTTGTACTGATCCCTGAGGTGGGCCACACGACTAGGCCATCGAGCTGGGATGAATTCTCGTCGCGGACGAGAGCTGGGAGACCGCAGACGAGATGTCGGATCCGGACTTGTACGCATGAGACCGCAAGAGGTGATGGTCGAGTGCTCGTGCTGGCGAGGTGGAGACACTCGTGGTCGACAGTATGGCTCAGCTTGAGCTCGCGCAGCTTGAGTTCTGTGGCCCAAGCGAGTGGTACGACGGTCTTGGCGGGAGCTGGAACGGTTGTCAAGAACAGAGCACACAACTGGACGGGACCTTGAAGGAGGTCGAGCTGCACGACTAGGTGGCGTCTCGAGCAACACAGGGGACGAAGTTGTCGGGCTGGCAATGAAGCGAGCGGGGACTGGAGACGCAACAGAGATGCCGGGGGAATCTTGCTGTGGAGGCGACTTTAGACCAGTTTCTATGGGCCGCTGGCTTCGCCGCGGTGTTGACCATGTCGTGGTCATCGTTCCCGACAAAGAAAACAGTTCTTCTTCCGTCTCTGAATCAACTGGAAAAAAACTGGCGCTGCTGGACTTGGCGCCACTGCTTCGAGGCCCCAAATGCACGTTTGGCGGTACATTTTCATCGTCACTCGACGTGTCTTGAATGCACCGTTGTTTCCAAAACAACACCGAGTGAGATCGGCGCTTCATAGTCTCTGCTCACATTACGCTACAGTTAGAAATTATATTATCATCACCTCAGCCATCGCAATACATACCGGGGCGGTGCTTTGTGGCCTTGCTGTCCAGTTTAACAATGAACTGTGACGGGAATTTAAAAGATATATGTTAGTAGAGTGATGGTTTATCTGTTAGAGTGCAGGTCACCTTACTTAATACAAAAGTCAATATGTTCGTTTAAGGCAAGAGGGCGGCGTAAAGCTAGGGGTAGGTGAGTTTACTGAGACCGAATTTACGTCTCATGACTTCTATGTCGAGTTTAAACACTGGCATAACTGCAGTGAATAAGGCGGGCGTTTACTCCATTTTTGAAAGGCGCCCACTAGCTTCCCAATACCATTATTTATGCTAAGGGAGGGTTCCATAAATAAAAATGCCATAATCGGGAGCCCTGCTAGTGCCTGTCATCGCCCAGTCAGTGTGCTTGAACATGAGACGAAAGTAAGTAAAAGCTGTGCTCCGATCTCGAGAGCGTTTCGATCTACACGCACAAGATTACATGTAGAAGAAAACGTGCTGTAGCTGGCTTGGGTCAACGAATAGAGGGATTTTCACTGCGACGTCAGCATCAATAAAGGTTTGCTCACTCGACTACATCGCGATGTTCTCAGCTGCCGCATGGCATCGTCACCGCAAAAGCGTATTCGTTCGCCGTAGTTATCCATCTCCCAGGTGTTCTCCTTCATGAAGAATATTCAGTTTGTCCTTCGCGCCGATCAGTGGCTACGGGCAGTAGCTAACTGCTGCGATATGAGTATATGCCACCTGGTAGAGCCACCCAGGCTTCGGGTCGTCCGCAATGAGAAGTTGTTCTTGGTCTGTGGGTCGCGGATTGGAGCTGTTGATTGATTGCACGGCCTCGTTTTTCTAGCGCATTTGAGCCATTCGCCACGAGGACATGGCACCTGAGGGCCTCAGGTACTTGTTAGACGGCGATGTTGCATATTCTCGCACGCAGAATACAAAAAAAAAGTTAAATCGGAGAAATGCACGTTTCTGTCGAAGCGACATAGAATTGAACTGATGACGCGCGCGACTTTACCGCTAGGTTTCGTCCGAACTCCTCGTCCGTCATGGTCATGCTGTTAGAGCGACTTCAACGTGTTGATCCCTTCGGCATTCGATATCCGGTAGCTTTTCGTCCTTTTCACAATCATAAAGTATTGAGGGTTCTGAATAATAGCAAGTCCACAATGTTAATTGAACACCATTAAAAGTCGATGTCATGAATGTCCCGACGTTCACATAAACCACGATGATGGGGATCCAACACGGTCGCACTAAGATCAAGGGCATTCCGCATTTTGCCTTGAAGTAGCGAGACATCAAGCATCACCACCAGCAACGCCATGTCCCTTTCGACGGCAGCTTTTGTAAAGCGTAGCTCAGGCTTCAACGCTGCGTTGTTAGAGCTAGCGCACAGCCGCAACACCATCTACGAGAACACGCGCATGTCAGGCGAGAACCGAACGGCGCACCGCATGCTTCCTGTGGACCAGCATGAGAGCAGTAGCGACACACTTGAGGACTCGTATGCACGGAATTTGTCCAAGTATTTCGGTGTGGAGGCGCCGCTCACCGACACGCGCACACACAGAATGCCAATTTCGCGCCAGGAGAAGTTGTTGGATGAAGCGCTGCTACTCGTGGCGCACAGCCAGCGCTCCATCTACGACAAAACACGCATCTCGGGTGAGAACCGCAGCGCGCATCGCGTGCTGCCCACAGACCGCCAGGCTGAGCGAAGCGACCGCTGCTCAGATGCCACTGACGCGTCCTACGCCTGCGCCATGGCCAACTACTTTGTGGCCAGGAACGCCAGTCGGTTGTGACTATCAAGAGAGAAGAAAGAAAGGAGAAATCATTTTAGGCCCCGGGACGTATTTAATCGCTACAGGGCGAGAGCAGAAGAAACAATCAACACTAATGTAAACTTTTGAAAAAGGATACAGAGCCAGGTTCTGTCTGTCAGCAGTTTGCACTATTTGTGGCGGTGAGCTTTCGGCTGTTAGCTCGAAAGCAAGACATGTTGCAGATTGTCTTGTAGACTCGCGTCTTATTCGACGTCCCCCCGACTCGTTACTGAACGTGACTGGACATGGGGGTCACAGTGCGCCACATGCGTCGTGCCGCGCCCGTGGTAGCATCAGGCACGGTCGTTATCACGCTCGTCGCTTGTCTGATCATTGCCAAGGCCAATAACATCTACACCGGCGGTCTCACGTGGCCGTACTTCTCCGATCTCGGTCGAGGTTTGTACAAACCCTGTCAATAATTAAGTGCTGGTGCCGTCTATTAATAATAGCTGGGTGCTTCGTGGTGCTTGTCGCTACAGATTCACCAGGTTATTATGTATTCTGCGTCGGCCTCACCATTGCAGCAATGTCACTATGTGCTACTTGGTACTTCAACTACAAATGCTCGGCGCTGAGAGTCCCTACGTTGCTACATGTAGGTCACGTCTCACCTTTCGTGGGCTGGGCCGCGAAAGCTTCCTCTGTGATTGGCGTTATCTCAACCATCGGACTACCGATGCTTGTATGTGGCGAGGAGATTTAGTTGCAACCTCTGCAGAGCTGCTGGCTTACGTGGTGTTTATCGTGTTTTTTTTCTTCTGATCAGGCTTTCTTCAGCACCACTCACTGCACAATAATGCAGCGTACTGGCTCTTTTTTCTGGAAACCTTGGCCATCTTTCTCAATGTACCGTGCAATAGTGTCGTCATTCCATTCATAATACAAAGTATCTAACTAACTAGAATGAATGGTTTGTTATTAATACAGACATTCGTGAGCTATTGGCTGTTCAAAAGCGCCACGGTGCCTGAAGCTACTGCAGGGGAAATTCCAGTGATCTGCGACGTCGCGGACATCGACGCGGAGTCAAAATTCTACTGTATGCGCCGGACACTGGCCTCAGTGTTGTTCAGCCTTTCAAGCGACTTTCAATTGACCAGGTAGGTACTAAGTAGGTGGTCATGGCAATTCAATTTCTTAAATTATGCTGCTAACTTGTGATGTTTTGGTCAATGTCAGTGCTTGGAACGCGATCTGGGTGCCGTGTACTGCTCTGTGACGATGAAGCTGGATGATGTCTACACGAAGCTCTGGAACTATGGTGAGGCTGTCGGTACGGTACATGTATTTCATCGAAAGCTGGCAGCTAAATTGTTCGTTTATCGCTCTACGTTGCAAAAACAGAGGACGACTACAATGCCACACAGATGCGAGCAGCAGCACAGCTCGGCTGCATTCTGACCCTTGTGGGCTACTCGACCTCACTCCTGACACACAACGTCGAGGTATTGGATAAAGGTCGAGATCGGGCAGCAACATTTGAGGCATCAACTGGGATGCAGACCAAAAGCACGCATTTCTGCGCGATTCCTTTGATCATGTCACCTGCCGAGAGGTCAGAGGCGTAATTTGCGCGGTGTTTATAAGTACAGTGGAACATGCTTGTTGTGTTGGCGTCCGACGAGCGAAACGAAAAAAAACAAATTTGTTAAAAATAATTGCTGGACATCCACAAAACAAAATCCTTGGCATCGACTCTCGCTCGGATCTTTTTCATTGCGACTCGCTCACCCCGACACAAACAAGCGGACGTGATGATGAGTATTTACTACAATGAACGTCACGTGAGGCTCATAGTCCTATGCCAGCATCCGAAAGGCCTTTCTCAGTGACCACAATTCGGCCTGCACAACGTCATCAAGGCGAGAGGAGGACACTCCACCCCGGTAATAAACAGCATGCTTCGGTTGGCGCCAAGTGTGCTTGTAATGCTCGATAAAGAGCTCCCACAGCATTTGAGGTAAATGCGAGACATCGTTGTGTCCACTTCGAATCGCGAGCCGAGCAGCATACTTGGAGGAGTGATGCTCCAGCGACGCAGCGACAGACGAGATAGACGGAAGACTGCTCTTCTCCATCCCTGGATAACAAACATCGGCTCCAAGTAGTATAGTGGGCTTGTCGTGCACGAGAGGCAACGTCGTTTCTGGAAAAATCGCATTGCAGCCACCGAGTTTAGCATTAATCTTGAGGCACAAGTTTGCCAATACCTGAACTTTCGCACGCCCGAGTACTGCTGCCGAGACACACTGGCTTGGAATGCCAACTGCGTGTGCTGTTTGTTTGATTTCTTGGTATTACATTGCATCATAGTTGGCTCTAACCACAACAAACAGTTGGGGTTGCCCTAGAGACTGTCCTCGTTCTAGGAGATCATGACAGCAAGTCATCCAGCTTTCAAGAGATCCACGAGGTTGATCTGAGCTTGTTATCATTACAGGCTTGCGGTTCACCACATTGATTCCGCGACTGACTGCTTCCTTGCACAGGTTTGCTACAAATCGAACAATCGCACTCCATGAAACACAGGGACGACCGCCACCAACATCACTGCAAACCACGACACCCCAATAAGCCATCGTCGACGGCCTCACAAATAACTTGTTGGCCAAGTTCCACGATCCGTTGTTTGGATGCTGAACGCTGTTCGCGTATTGAATATCTGGCGCTTGCAATACCCTAGCATTCACAGTCTCCATTTTATCACCAAATTCTAATCCGAAGGCTTTCAGAATGGGATCGTTCTCGTAATTGAATCGACTGCGAAGCTGCTGGACACTTGTGAGACGAGCTTGGGGTCGAACGACAGCCAGGTTACGAATCTCGTCGGTGTTGGAGCGATCCTGGCCGCTATACGGCTGTGAGGAGCAACCTCACACAGCTCAATCGGGACCCCGCTTTCGGTGCCCGGTCTCCGACCACCAAGGTTAGCTGCAGGCAACTGCGGGTAACGAAGTCGAACATGGTATTTCGCGCGAAAGTATAGCTCGAATTCCAGCTTTTGCAACAGTATCCAAAGCATAAACCAGCGGCTTCACATTCACTGCCGAGTCTGAGAACGCCTTCTGCAGCAACGTTGTATCCAGTTCCTTGACTAGTTTGATAATAACAGTAAACGGCCGAGCTTTCCCCTTATTGACGCCTGGAAGGTCAACGCCAGATCCGTTCCTAGCACTGCTGCGAACGTCGAGCACTCTGCCTTCATCAGGCACAGGTAACGCAGACGGAGAAAACAGCGCATTTGCACCATCACACACAGTTGGCACTCCACCAAATTCTGTTGCTGGACTGCATCGTTCACCACCTGTCGCAATAAGGATCTCCTTAGACGGCGCCCACCAAACAGTCGAGTGCCTTGACTTTCGCTACGTTCGGTCGTTGCAGACGTTGTATCGCCACCTAGTTCCACACTGATTTGATACTGGAAAACTTGCGTGCATTTGTCAGTGTCATACGTCACTCGGTAGCATTAAGACTTGAGTGCTTCCACTGGTACCAGTACCGATACGACAGGTACTAGCAACCTCTTCAGTCACATACGAGTCCGCCGAATCCGTTGGCAGTGGCTGCCTACTGCCACTCCATTCACCATCAGGTGACCCCGTCTCCAATGGAAGCGTAGTCGTTCGTACTCCTCGGATTGGTGTAATATTCCGAGTACTATCGCTTGATCGAGCTCGCGAGTGGCTACGAGTCACTACCGAGCGCCCAGCTGAGCGCTCTCGACCTCTACCCCAACGTCTTGGCGCTTCCGCATTGTGGCGAGATCTCGAGCGGCTACGAGCACTGCGGTGTCGATCATGGTAGTTCCGACGTGAAGGAGATCGCTCGTGAGCGTCACCGTGACTGTGATAGTCGGAATACCCAGAATGCCGGTTCGGTCGGGAACGACTGCAAGACGAGTAGTCAGAGCTGTGGTACGAGTCGTAATAGCGTTGCCCACCGTATTCGTTGTAATCATCGTAGTAGCTACGTTCCCTGGATCGACCACGGCTTCGATCTCGTCCTCGCAGGTCACGGTGGGAGGTGCCCTCGCTACGATCTCCATGCCTACCAAATGAACTGCTTGGCGAGCGATTGCAATACGTTCGCCGTTGACGAACATTGCGCGAATATGATTCGCGTGGGGAACGTGATCGCCGCGAATGCCCGCTACTGTAGTAGTCGTAGTCGTATCGAGCCATCTTGAGCAAACTTTGGAAACGAAATGAGAAAAAGCTTCGACAGGCTTCTCGTTCACTTTCCCAAGTACCTCGTCGCTCCAACGATGTTGAAGCGCTATTGTCTCCATGGCCAACAGCACGAAAGTCACACTGAGCAACTGTCCGATCTCCCCAGACGCTAATTCACTTTGTCTTTCTCCAGTCCAGTCACACTCATAAACTACTTGTCTGCTTTCTTGTCGGAGATGGAGATCACGTTCGCCACTATCCTGCTTTTACATGCTGCTGTCTACTTCGGTGGTGTAGCTGCTGCTTCATGTGACACGACAGCGCTGTCGAAGCTCCTGATGAACGAAAATGTGAAAACGTGTCGTGGTGATTCTGGATACAACGCGGCATCGATGACAGCGGCAACTGACGCACAGGTCAATGCGGTGTGCAACAGCAATGTGTGTACCGAGGCGATGAAAGCTTTGAGGGAAGTGGCGCCAGACGAATGTACGATTGGTCCGATCCGGCTGTACGCTGATATTATCGACCCTCTTGAGCGACGCTGCGGGAGAAAGTCGGGGTCCCTTGGTGCTGGATCTGCTGTGAATGCGTCAGCTCCAGGCTCTGGTCCCTCAGTCGGAGATGGGGATTCTCCGACGACCACCAAGCCGCCGACGAAAACGCCTGCGAGTCCTCGCACCAGTCCACCATCGACAACTCCTGCAAACGGAGGTACCGCCACGTTTACTCTTTCGGTATTCGGTACTATTATCGTGCTCGCTACGGTCGTCGCTGCAGTCCTGTAAGGTGCCCTGAAGACCGTGTAGCTTCATCTCTTGACCGATCCGCACAGAAATGCTGCACACCCCATTGATCTCTTTAGCTATAGTTGCACGTACCACTTGAACAGTTGTTCTCATGTCTTCCTTGACGCAGTGAATCTCTTTTTCTCTCCTTGTCTGCAAAACATGAAACAGCAGCATCAAATGCCTACCCTATCTCGATCACAGCGAATTACAACTGCAGCTTGCATCATATTGAGCTCGTCAGATACCGCTGCGTCTAACAGACCTACGCTGAATCGTGCTGAAGCTGAATCAGCGCCACTTCTGTGCGATCAAGGGCGGAATGCACTCGCTCAGCCTGGAACGCGTCTGCAATCAGCATTAAATAGACTTCACCTTCTAGCTCGACCCTCGAGAACCCGGCTTCTGCCAATATACCCACAGCTCCGGGCACTGACGTCAGCTTGGACTGGATGGCGGCGTTCGACAGTCGGATCTTGCGGAATTTTTCCTCCTGCAGCAAGAAGGACACGGCTTTAGTCAGACAGTACATAACTCCCGCTAACCCTCCAGCTCACACCCAACCTGCGGATTCTTCAAGACATTCGCCAGCATCTTTATCAGCGTTTCCGCCGCCGTGATAGCGCGTGGCGGGTCTTGTCGCAACAGAACGTACACAGCACCATTCTCTGCAACGTCCGAGTTGGTCAGCACACCATCAGGTGCCGCTACTTGAGGAATAGCTGGGAACGGAGCCGGCGGTGATATTGTATCGCCACTCGGTGCAGGCGGAGGAGCTATAGCTTCTGCTCCAATTCCGTTTATGGCAGAAACTGCCTGCGTAGAGGACGAGAAGGTGGCTGCGTATGGGTTGAACCCCATCTGCTGGTGTGCACTCTGCAGCTCACGCGCCTTCACTTGTTCATTGGAAAGCAGCACGGGAGGCGGCCCTGACGGTGCCGCTTCTGCAGTCAAAGATGCAGGCTCTGCGTACTGGAATTTACTCTCGAGCTCCTCTTCCTCCTGCAGTCGCGCCTTGCGCCCGTTGGCTACACGCTTCTCCCACGCGTTGCCTCGCTGCTCCAGCGCCTTGGCCTACAGCAATTGGAGCAATTAGATCACTTGGCGGTCAATTTATGACTGGCAACGCACCTGCAGCTCGCGCCGCTTCTGCTGTTCCTCGGCGGAGAGAGCGGGAGGTTTGTGGCTGGCGAAAGGCAGCTGTAGGAAACGGAGAGACGGTCAGATAGTCATTTGCTGCTGGAACCGGTGTAACTTTTTACCTTGATGGACGGGCGTCGGGATACGTCGGGCGCTGGAGCAGCAGCAGCGGGCGCGTCGCCACCTCCCAGCACGTTTCCCTCTCCGCGGAAGGCCGTGCGTTTGTTGGAGATTTTGGCTGCCGCTTGCTGCGCTGCTTCCTTCTTCTTCTTTAGCCAGTCCATGTTCACCTTCTAATTACGCTGGGCGTATCGCTACCTTGTAGTGACACCTGCAAAAATCGATATTGAAATATCTGAATCAGAAACATGGCTCTGAAATTCAGAGCCTGAATCCTCTTCAATCGTCTGCTTACTCAGATCCGCTGATTCCACTCAAAAATCCGGATCTGAGTAAGAAGAGGATACAGTCGGAAGCTTGCTCGTTAAGCGAACAGCTACAGTACTTCGCTAAATCCGTGCGGGACAACGGACATATGTTCGATTCTTTCATTTCTTTCACGATCAATGCTATGCAGGCTCTAAAGAAAACGAAGATATTTCTATACAGCTTCTATTTACAACGGCCTTCATAACTAATACACTATCACCTACTGCGGTGTGCGGTACATGGATTTCCATACAGTCGGTAACTTACCGCGACCCGATCAAGGGTCGAAGTGTTACACCATCGTTCGTCGTATCACCATGTACGCGCCCGTGGACCTGGAGGGGGCCAAACTGCAGCAACCCAAGCCTTCCACGTCCTCCTCCTATTTGATGCAACTGAAGCGTGCGCTGTTGGTGCTGGGCGCCATTGCGCTGGGCCTGACCGTTGGTCTGTTGCTCTTCCGATTTGTGCGTAGCGACGATTTCGATCTCGTGGTCCACTGGCTGCAGACTCACGAGACGATCGGCGCTGCTCTCTACGTGTGCAGCTTCACGTGCTTCGTGGTGCTGTGTTTTCCGTCCACAGCCTTCGAGCTGCTGGCTGGCTACATCTTCGGCTTGTGGCTGGGTCTACTGTTGGCTACTACCGGAAAGCTCGTGGGTTCCGTGCTGTCCTACGTCATCGGCCGTTACCTGTGCCGCCGCCGCGTTCACGCCTACATGGCTCAGGGCCATCCGGCACTGCAAGGTTTCCAAAGTCTGTTGCGCAAGCGACAAATCCTTGTCGTGTTCCTTACGCGCGTAGCTTTCTTCCCTATTGCAATCAAGAACTACGGACTCAGCGTGTTGGACGTGCGATTTCCAGTGTATTTTGCAGCGGCACTGCTTACAGGGCTCCCGTTCTCCTTCATTTGGGTCTATTCGGGACACGCCGTAGAAAACTTTACGGCGTTGCTGGCCAGCCCCGCAGCTTCAAGACATAGCACCGAGATGGTCTTGCTGCTTGTAGGGGCAGGCAGTGCCTTGTTGCTGCTGTTTGTGGTGGGACTGTATACCCGCAAGTATGTACTGGACTTGGCGGAGGAGGAGAAGGACGCGGACACGACGGCAGCCGACACGCCCAAGCGCACGGACGATGCCACGGCTTTCGTCAATGCGGTATGAGCAGGTTATCTGTAGGATGTATTACTACTTAAGTGTGTCGCTTGTAATATTACTTTGTGCGTTATCTCTTGCATTCTCAGTGGTCGCTGGAAACTGGTGTCATCACTGGTGAGTTTCCATGCGTCGCTCTCCTACATGTACTTGTCCTACTCTTCTCATATCAATGGATGGCTACTTCTTGGACGTCAAGTGGAGCCCCATTCTAGCAAGGTTACGGCTGTATTGGTAACAGACAGTGGTCGATGCATTAAGATGGAGCTCTGCCTGTTCAAGGCGGTCACGTTCGCAGAAGTTGGATGGCTGGCTACTCCTCTGTCTGACTGGCTTGGGTCTTGGAAATCGATGCAAGCCGAGGGAAAAGAGGTTGGAATCCAGCTTGCTGGAGATGCAGAATTTCTCGTTTTTTCAATCCGCCACAACGTCCTCATTCGACATTATTCTCTGCGCTGCAACGGCAACTCGAGTCGACTATGGCAAGTTCCCGTCGAAACGCTCGCAACAGCAAGCGGAAGCCGAGCGGCTCCCACAAGGCCAAGCCATTGCCAACGGTGGACTTCAGCATGTCCATCTCAAGTGTATCGAGCGAGCCCACGCCCATTCTCGAGTCGTCTCTTTCCAGTTCCTACCAGAAGCACGTACTGCGTCGTCACCACCAGACTCGAGGCTCTCGACATCATGGAGCTTCAGCTAGAGGAGGTCTTAGAGACGACTCGCCTTTCACGCCTCGTCGACCGGTGGGTGCTGTGCCCGAGCTCTTCGTAACTTTCCGTCACGTGTCGCTGGCTGTGGACGTCCCGGTGTCGCCGGCTGCAGCCGCAGCAGCAGCGCAAGCTTCTTCAGGCCAACTGAGTCGCGAGTCTCTGGCTGCCAAGCAACTTCCGACCATCGCGAACCACATCCGAGGCATCGGTGCTGCCCTCACTGCGAACAAGACATTCGTTCGTCGTCAGATTTTAAAGAACGTGACGGGGGCTTTCACGCCAGGCTCCATGACGCTGCTACTCGGACGTTCGGGATCAGGCAAGTCCGTACTGCTCAAACTTCTGGGTGGGCGACTCAATGTGACAAGCAAGAGTGTGACTCTGGATGGCGAAGTCTCGTACAACGGTCTGTCTCGTGATGAACTCAAGGCGCAACTGCCTCAGTGCGTATCCTTCGTGCCGCAACAAGACACACATCTGCCCGTGATGACTGTGAAGGAGACGCTGGACTTCGCATTCGAGTGCTGCGCTATTAACCCCGATGCGAAACCTGTCGGTGCCGTGTACAAGTCCCCAGCTTCAGAATATCCACTGGCGCTTCCTGCCACTTATCTCGGCGGTGAACGAGACCCCGTGACCGTAACGCGAGAACTCGGTTTGACACGCTGCCAAGGCACCATCGTGGGTGACGAGCGCATTCGTGGCGTCTCTGGAGGTGAGAAGAAGCGTGTGACGACCGGAGAAATGGCGTTCGGTCCGCATGCAGTGTCGCTGATGGACGAGATCACGACGGGGCTTGACAGTTCAGCAGCTTTCGACATTGTGAATGCTCAGCGCCGTTTGGCGAGGCAACAGCGACAGACCGTGGTGATCTCACTGCAACAACCTGCGCCTGAAGTACTGGCGCTCTTTGACAACGTCCTGCTACTGGCGGACGGTGAAGTGCTCTATCACGGACCTCGAGCTCATGTCCAGACATACTTTGAGGCTCTGGGCTTCGTTTGTCCTCCAGGTCGAGACCTCGCTGACTTCCTGTGTGACTTGGCGTCTCCACAGCAGATTCAGTACGAGAAATCCCATGCTCCGATGCCTGGAAGACGTCGCCATCCTCGCAGTGCCAATGAGTTTGCAGACTTGTGGATCATGTCGCCCATGTACGAAGCGATGGTGGAGGAGCTGGATCATCTGGACAATGACACGGAAGCATACAGCCAGACGCACAGTAGAAATGGCGAGAGAGGACTCTTCTTCGATCAAGAAGCGCTGCTACGAGTTCCAGCGTTCCGGCAGAGTTATCTGCGTAGCACGTGGACAGTGGTGAAGCGCCAGATGCGGCTGTTTGCACGCAACAAGGTTTTCTTCGTGGGGCGATTACTACTGGATCTGCTTGTCGGGTTGATGGTGGGGTCAGTCTACTACGGCATCGATCTTGCTGACTCACAGGTGACGTTGGGTGTGATCTTCTCGTGTGCGCTTTTCCTTGGCCTTGGCCAGTCGGCGACGTTGGCTCCGTTCTTCGATGCACGAGAAGTGTTCTACAAACACCGTGGAGCCAACTTCTACCGCACTTCCAGCTACGTGCTAGCGACGTGTCTTAGTCAGATTCCGCTTGCGATCACTGAGACGCTGGTTTTCGGCTCTCTGGTCTACTGGATGGGCGGATTCATCGCAACAGCAGAGCAGTTCGTGGTATTTGTGTTGTACATGCTGTTGACAGTGCTGGTCTTTGTGGGCGAGTACTTCTTCCTGTCCACGGCGTGCTCAACTTTACATGTGGCCCAACCAGCGTCCACCTTGGCTCTACTGTTCTTCATCCTCTTCGCCGGCTTTGCTGTCTCTCGTGAGCAACTTCCTTCGGCCTTACGCTGGATTTACTGGAGCAACCCTCTCGCTTGGACAACGCGTGGCGTTATGGTGAGTCAGTATCGCAGCAGTGAGTTGGATGTCTGTGAATACGGAGGAATCGACTACTGCAAGACGTACGGCGGTCAGACATTAGGCGAGTACTCTCTCGGGTTGTACGACGTTCCTGACGATCCCAAGTGGGTAGTGCTCGGTATTGTGTTTCTCGCGTCCATGTACGTCGTCAGCATGTTCTTATCGTTCGTCATGCTGGAATATCACTGTCACGAGTCCTCTTCAGTACTGCCTCCATCGTTGCCAGCTTCTTTCTCGAATACAGCTATCCCAACGCCGAGACAACCGAAGGAATCTTACGCCATGTTATCCACGCCGCATGGAGATGCTGACGAGTTGCTGGAGAGCGACATTACCGGGTTTCCTGGCGATCGCAATGGCATTGCTGTGTTGGGTGGAGACGACGACATAAACGAATCCTTTTTCGCCTCTCAGGGACTTCGTACTAACACAGAGGAGATTATGGTACGCTTGACACCTCGGTGGGACGTCCCGCCTGTCACTCTTGCTTTCCAGGATCTACGATACAGCATCACAGTCCCTGCAGATGCTGTAGCGGATCCTGCTGGAGCCCCGGGTCGTCCTGTGGCAGTGGATTCTCGTGACAATGCTGGCAAGACCAAGGAAACTGTGACTCGAGAGCTACTGAAGGGCGTCACTGGCTACGCTGTACCCGGCACGATGACGGCACTCATGGGCTCAACTGGAGCTGGGAAAACGACTCTCATGGACGTGCTCGCTGGTCGCAAAAGCGGGAAACCAGGCAGCAACAAGAAGAAGAAGAATGGGGCACCTACGCTTCGAGGACGAGTGTTGCTGAATGGCGTGGATGCTACAGAACTTGCTGTGCGCCGATGTACTGGTTACTGCGAGCAGACAGATGTGCACTCTGACGCATCGACATTCCGGGAGGCGTTGCAGTTTTCGGCGTATCTCCGTCAAGGCGACCGAGTGGCACCTGAACGAGTCGAAGAGATTGTCGATGAATGTCTCGATCTACTCGGACTGAGCGACGTAGCTGGTCAACTCATTCGTGGCAGTTCGAGTGAGCAACTCAAGCGCTTGACTCTAGGAGTGGAGCTCGCAGCTCAGCCCAGTGTGCTGTTCCTGGATGAACCTACCAGTGGTCTGGACGCCCGTGCAGCAAAAGCGCTTATGGATGGCGTACGCAAGGTGGCGGACTCTGGCCGTACAGTGATCTGTACCATTCACCAGCCTTCTACCGAAGTATTCCTGCTTTTCGACACTCTCTTACTTCTGCAGCGCGGTGGGGAGACGGTGTACTTTGGTGAATTGGGACGCAATTGTGAAACGCTAGTCAATTATTTCCAAGGACTCGGACTGCCACGCAATACGCCAGCCTTCAAGCCCGGAGATAACCCAGCCACGTGGATGTTGGATGTGATTGGTGCTGGTGTTGAGAAAATCAAGCCTCAGGCTTCATTTCCTATGAAGGTTCGACCTGCAGCGACGAAGAACCCTCGACTCCAACACCTGGATGCCTCTTTGAACTCCTCGGTAAGCTCGGAGTACTCACGCCAACATCGCGACGAGGCTTTTGACTTTGTAGCAGCCTACAGGTCCAGTCGGCTTAAGCAACGACTGGATGCTAAGAGAGCTGTGCCTGGAGTGTTCATGCCCTCTGATCGTCTGCCGCCTGTGACGTTCGCTCAGCGTCGCGCTGCGAGCGATGGACTGCAGTTCACCATGCTCATGCGTCGGTTCCTCCGACTGTATTGGCGCTCTCCATTCTACACGTTTACTCGAATGGTGACTGCGCTGACTCTGGGCTTGATGTTTGGACTCGTGTACTCGGGCAGCAATGACTTCACCTCGTACCAAGGAGCTAACGGTGCAGTAGGACTGATCTTCTTCTCGACCTGCTTTTTAGGCGTCGGGGCCTACATCCACGTGCTGCCCGTGGCCTTCGAGGAACGGGGGCCTTACTATCGTGAACGCGCGTCCGAGACGTACAGTGCCCTGTGGTATTTTGTGGCTTCCTCCGTCGTGGAGATTCCCTATGCTGCTGTAGCTTCCATGATCTTTGTGAGTGTCTTCTACCCGATGGCAGGTTTCTCTGCTTATGGCGACTTCGCTCAGGTTGTGGTGTACTGGCTGGTCTTGACAATGCACATCTTGTTCCAGACGTTCTTCGGCCAGTTCTTCACGTTCGCCATGCCCAGCATCGAGCTCGCTGCCGTGTGGGGTGCACTCTTCGACTCGATCTTCCTCATGTTCATGGGTTACAACCCGCCGGCGGCGAGTATTCCAGATGGATACAAGTGGTTATTCCAGCTCGTGCCGCATCGCTACACGTTCGAAGTGCTCACGGCGCTCGTGCTGGGAGACTGTCCGGACGAACAGCTACGGCAGATCGCAGACGCTTCTGCCACTAACACCACGATCGACGTCTCGGACTGGCCACTCGGCTGTCAGCCGCTCACAGAAGCACCGCCCGCCGTCGCCAACATCTCTCTGACCTCGTACATCGATCAAGTGTTTGCCGCGCGTCGTGAGGACACTACTCGCTCGGTCGCTGTTGTAGTGGGTCTTATTCTACTGATGCGACTGGCTACGCTGATCGTCATGCGCGTCGTCAACCACCAGAAACGCTGAAGGAAAATCAAAAGATTCTTTTGAACTTGAAAATGACACTTGTGGTATTACCGGTATGACACTGATGAATGTTGAAGTACAAATGTTTACGTTTCAGCACCAAAAGAGCATCTTGGGATCTGATCCTCTGGTCAGACTGAAGGTTCAGTGGACGGAGTTTAACTCGATGCTACGACGGAATAGTCGTTGTCTGGCAGGACCGGTAGCAATGCCATTTCCAAACGCGCAAATACCAGCAGCAGATGCAGGTCGAGTCGCTCACAGTTGGAACGCGGGTCGCTCCCATCGTGGCTACAACAACAGTGATCACAACTCTGATCACGTGCGTATCGCTCGCTAAGACCAAGGAAATCTACCTCGGTGGACTGGCGTGGCCTTATTTCTCCGACACAGGCAGAGGTGAGATAGAGTGTGTAGACCTCTGAGCTTTCAAGGAAAAAAAAACTATTTATGCTTGCTATTACTTTATCCAGATGCACCAGGCTACTCTGTGTTTTGTGCTGGGCTGACGATCGTGGCGATCGCTCTCATATTGACGTGGGTTGCCAACTACCAATTTCAACGGGAAATTGTCGACAAAGCGAGTCAAGACAACTGGAAGCTCATTCGAAAATACTGCGAGCTCGTGCGAGTGTTGGGCGTGTGTTCGGCATTTGGGCTGCCGGTACTCGCGTTCTTCAGCACTACGAGTTATCCTGATGTCCATAAGTATGCGGCGTATTGGTTCTTCGTGTTAGAGGCCGTCGCGTTGGTGCTCAATGTACGAGCTTAATTTGTGTCTTGCTGTCACGTGATGGGATAACTGAGCTGTTGCTGCTGCAGACCATTGTGAGCCTCAAGCTTTCTCGTCTAACTGCAGACACTTCTTACTACATGCCGGAGTCTGAGGAACAACCGACAAAGAACGTGTCCAATCCGTGGAACGAATCGAACTCGAACGCAAAGCGCACATTCTACATTCAATTGGTCTTCACGACACTATTCTGGATCGGATTCCTTCTTTACATCCCGGTTGGTCTTGCGCTTATTGATGAATTCCAGCGGCTCAGTATTAAAGACGTACGGTACTTATGAGGTATTGATTTTTTATATTTGCGTTGAGGCCTGATGAAATGTTTCTTGTTGTAGTGTTTGGATCTCAACCTGGGCGAAAAGTACTGTACCGACACTATGAAACTCAACGATACCGACACTGTGCTGTGGAACTACGGTGCGTCCCTTGATTATCATTTGTGAGTGTCCAACATCTTCAGACTCTATGACTTATACGGCTGTATCTACAACAGACAATGCACACGGACTCAATCAGATGCGCTCTGCAAGTCAGTTGACCTGCATTCTCACCCTGGTTGGGTACTCCATGTCGTTCCTCTCACACGGCAGTGCTTCGTTACAAGACGATGACGATAACGTCTAGGAGCAGGAGGCTTCGCTGTTGGAGAGCTACAGGCTTGGCCTGGTAATGAATGAACTCACCAATTAAATTTGTTGCGGTAAAGCGTATCGTTTATTAGCCCCCCAAGCCCGAGGCCATTTGGTGCTCACCATCTCACACATACCTACACGTTAAGGTTTATCCGCAAGATGGGCACCCATAGTATACTCCAGATATATTTTAACGTGTCTGTACTAAAGCCGGTCCATACCCCCAACCCCAAACTTTGCTATCGTGTCTTCCCCGCCTAAAGTGTCTTCCTGGTATTAATACATGGTATATCTATTATTGTGTCTCCTGTACGCAAAGACGATACAGTACAAGCCTGATTTATTTGTCGATATTTAGAAAAACAAACCAGCTGGGAATACGTGAGCTGTGCAGTATATTTAATGCAAGTCAAAAATCAGAGCCGGAGCCTGCCTAAACTACGTCATCACTTCTGCGGGATCGCTTCTGGCGTGATGATCCGTCACTTCCAGATTCACCGCTCGACTTCTCGGAGTTCTCAGCATCACCTGCAGTCTCATCGGTAGGTCTCTTCGGCTTACGGGCACGAATCTTGCGTTTGTTCCGTGTCTGAGGGATCAATGTGCCGTTCTTCCAATGTTTATGCCAGATCTCGAAGCACGATGCTGGAACACCGTTCGCGGAGTGCTTCACTTTGTTGCAAAGGAAGACTCGAGCTGCTAGAGCATTTTTGGAAGACGTTTTCAGCCTGCATTCACCGCAAAACAAGGTAGTTTCACCCCCACGCAACTCTCCATCGGCTTTGAGCACTGAGCACACCTTACAGGCGCGCTGACGGCGTTTCCGAGCTTGTGTGGCGCTCCCTTTACGCCACTCGTCGGTCTGAACAGGCACATGTCTGGCGACTTCTCGAGCTTTTGTCGGTGTCGCCTGGAGCCCTCGGTGGCGTAGCAGCTGCTGCCAGTCTTCAGGTTGAAGCTGGCACAACTCCAGGTGAAGCTGTTTGAGATATTGCACGTGTGATAGCTTTCGTTCACCATCTCTAACCCGCCGGCAATTGAAGACAATAAATGCATTGATAATTGCCAGATCAATAAGGCCTAGGAACAACGACTTGTAATACTTCCTGTAGCGTCTTGCGTTCGACGCTCGTCGGCCATTCTTCTGCTTTGCTGGTAGGATGGCCTCGCACAAGCCTTGGTTGTTCATCATAATCGTTCCAACGATGTAGAAAGACATCGTAAGCAGTTGCATTGCAAGCACCACGGAGGTGTAAAACCGATCTGTTACAACCAGTCGAAAGTCGGAGGGTCCAGTGGGGCCAAATACATGCTGGAGATTTCGCACCACTGCAGCAAGGCCGGATTTCTCGTCAGGTGGAATGCTGTCGTCTTGCATTTGGCGTTTACCACAGTAAACCACGAAACTGTATCAGACACGGTAAAGAAAGCGTTAGCATGTAGCAGACACGTTAAGACAACTTTTGAGCCAAAAAAAAAAACGCGCCCGAAGGCGCGTCACAAACGTACTGGATGCAATAAGCCGTATCAGAACAGCACAGCATGAAGAGCTTAGTCCCCCATTTGTGAGGCTTATCTTTCATGTACACCCTCATGCGATTGAAAGCCGATCTTGACGGAAGCATCGCTTCATCAAACGCCATGACCGGTGGCGGTATAAAGCTGCGCTGGAAAGTATATTGCAGTACGATGATTACTGGCCGCAGCTTCCACGCGCGGTCCGTCGCTGCCTCAGGAGCATCATTGCGACTGAAATACATGTTGCGGGAAAGATGAGCAAACCGATCTCGCTTCATATAATGGCCGAAGCACCCACGCGGAACTGCGCCTTCGTCGGTAGTCTTCCAGTGGTGGTCAAATTTCTCCTTGTTCGGCGCAATTGTTCTGGCAATGAGTAGTCCAATAAAAATACAAAACTCTCTTCCAGATATGTCAGGTGCTGCCAATAAATTCTCCTTGATTTGTTCTTGCGATTTCACTTCAAAATTGCTGTCCTTCCGGTGGCGGGCTTGTTGCTTTGCACGCTGTGCGCCAACACGCTTATCCGAATTGTGAAGGAAATAGTCGTCACTAGCTCCGGCAATGTCTTCCCAAAGATGGGAAGGTGCAAACAAGAAGAATGACCCCAACGCGGTCGAAGCAGCGGAAAGGGCTTCTTCAGCAGGCCCGTGATCCCCGCTGTAAATATTGGGATAGTCCTCCGTAAGCCATGCATCAGTCCGAGCCTCGTACGGCTCGTCCATGTAGGGAAAAGGCAATTGGGTATCAGGTCCATTCCATCCATTGAGCTTCACGTCTTTTAGAACATCCTTGTGTACACTACCGCGTGCAAGTGCTCCAACTCCGCCAGCTGATTCAAGTAGAGATGGCTCGAAAATTAAGTCAGGAGCAGCAGCAGAATCCTCCACGACGGCGTCGGCTTCTTCGAAGCCTAAGTTCTTATCATCATCGTAAATGGACATATTCTCATTGTCACCATCAGAATCCAGTGCTGCAATATCGGCTGGACTATTTCCAGGCGCGATAATGTTTGGGTCATCTACATCCACATACACTATAAGAATCCATAACGTGTACCCTTAACGTGTATACACACCATAAGCTTACCCATCATCGTTCTGATTCCATGTGCAAGGCTGACGCTTGGTTGCACTTCTTCAGGTGGTATGGCGGCCGGTTGCCCTTCTTCACCTGGCATCGTGCTTTCTCCGTCGCTATCAGGATCAGCGCAGGCATACTCTGAGCCAGATGTAGCAGCAGCATCGAATTCAGCATGTAAACTACAATTGAGATACTCGTCTGCATCTATAAGGGAGTGGTGTGTTAGCGTTAGCAGTAGTTCACAGGTACGAGCAAGATTTTTGACAGCTTACCGTTTTCATCACCAGCTGAATTGCCCAAATCACTCTCTGCCAGGTGTGGAGACGTAGCCTGAATGTTCGGACAAACAGTCTTCGTCGTGTCTGGATCTGGACTGACAGTTCGGTCAGCAACTATATACACGATAGCGTTAAAATAATAACACGTACATACACAATAAGATCAAACGCACCATCTTGTCTATCAGGCACATCGGTTTCAGGCTGTCCACTTTCCGGAGTAGGTTGAGTCGCTGCTGCTTTTGCTTGTTGCTTCGCCGCGGTAGCTTTCTTCATCTCCTCTAGCTAAGCACACGTATAAGAGTCCACACAAAGACCTTGAAAGGCGATACTACTTACCCAAGGCGATACGGTCCAAATATGCCATCAACGCAGCCTCTCCAACGAAAAAGTCCACGCCACGTACGTCCTTCTTCGTCTTCCCCGGCATAAGGTACGTGTAGTCGTTTGACAGGCCCGTAGGGGCCTTTGATTTCCATCCTTCCTTCAGAAGCTCTCGCCATCGGCCTCTGAACCCGGACATCTGAGCGGCAGCGGCGAAAATTCTCGAATGACCGAGATATGGGTGGCGCAGAATTCCACCTGCAATCCTCTATGCTGATTTGTGTGACACCCATCAAACCTGTGTCTTCTAATTTTCTAGAAAAACCAAGTTCAAGGCACACGCATAGCTATGTACTGCTGTGCGGGAAGATGGGAAATATGCCTACCCCTTCTTGACTGACAATTTGTATGGTACTATACAAACTTTACGTATAAAAGCTTAACGTGTCTCAGACACGTTAAGCTTTTTGCGGAATCGTGTCTCATACAGTTGGGCGGTTAATACGGTATTAATAGTAAATTGGGTACTTGACCCAAGTTTATTTACCCAGCAGGGTGAAAAACTACTGTACTGAAGTAGTACTTTAACTTTTGGTGCTGCATCAAATAGAACTGGTGCCGGTACTGTACCGGTATTCAACCTGGGGACAAAGATTAAAATCAAAAAAGTTTTCTAATTTAGAATGATTTTAATCAGATTCTTTACAAAATAAAAAAAATCAGATTTAAAAAAACTATTTTAAATTTGAAAAAATAACAATTTAAAAGTATTATTCTGAAAAATTTTGAAAATAGTGTCTGGACAGTAATTGGCCGATTCCGGACACCAGTCCGGATGGTCGCCATACGGAATGACTGAGTCATGCCGGGTGGAATCCGGCCAATCACGGTCGGATTATTTTTTCCGGATGACAGTGGATAGGCTTAAATAACAATTCAATGAATTGCAAATAGGTGGCTACCTTGCGACAGTCTTCTTCGCTGTTCATTCAGCGATTTTCAAGCGTACCCCTCAAGCCTCCAGCCACAGCTCCAACTCCAGACCACGGTGCGTGCCTTCTCCGACCCCAACGCCCCCGTAGCTTAGCGGTAGAGCGGGAGACTACGTCTCCAGGCCGCTGGTTCGAATCCAGCCGGGGGCAGATAGTTGTAAGCTGTGCTGCGTGGATTGTGTTTGTGCTGTACTCTGTGGTGTGTTTGCTATAGCTGGTGCTGTGCTGTGTGCTATGGAGCGACGCGTGTGATGCGGTATATGTATGTACATGCTGTGATGTGCATTTGCTCGTGTATTGCTGGATTGGGCGTGCTGTGCTGTGTGTTGTGCGTATGCTGCAGTGTTGTGTTGGGCTGTACATGTGCATGTGCTGCTATGTTGTGTACTGTGTGCTGTAACATGTTGTGTGCATTGTGTGTGGTGTGTGATGCTTTGTAATGTAGGCTGTACTGATTGCTGAACTATCTACTGTGGTGTACTGCCTTATAATGGTGTTGATGCTGATGAGTGCTGTTTGCTCGTGCTTATGTTTGCTGAACTGTGCTGCCCAACGGCTTGTCAATCCAAGTCAACTGCTGCCCACAGATGCGATGGAGGTGTGCAGGCATCTACGAGGGACCCACTGGATTTCAAGACAAGATACTGTGCTCCAAGCGAGCGATACGCGCCAGGATGCGACGTACGCAGCAGGCGCCAGCGCTTGCGAAGGGACGAAGCTTTGCTAGTTGGTTTCTTTTGGTCGAAGGCGTGGAGACGCTGGTTCGCGGCTGTATCCAGCTTGAGTGCCAGCTCCCAGACTACGTGCTTCCAGGCACTGTAAGCTGCGACGTCGGCTCGTGGAGGCTCCTCTGGGACTTGGTACGGCTTCTGGTACAGTACCATCATTATGTTCACTGCTGCCTTTGCTTCGGCACGCTGGTTTTGTTCCTTCTTACCTTTAACCGTTTGCCATATGTGGTTAGTGTACCAGTTGAGCAGGCATCCAGCAAGGGTGGAGGCTGACGCTGAAGCTGGGACGACAACCTCAACAGCAGTAGGTAGCTGTGGTGACTGCTGTTGCGTCTGAGTACTCCCTAAAGCCTGGCTCTGCATCTGGGCTTGCGAGTCTTCAAGGCGACCAAGTCGCTCGCTAATGTTCACAAGCTGGGCTAACATGTTGTTAAGAGTGGATGATAGCAGCGTGTCGTTACCAGCGACGGCATTGCTAGCTGCACGTGGTTTGCCGTCTTCCAGTGAGCTCTCAGGTACGCCCCCCCCACTCACAGCATGTTCGTATCGTGATGCAGGAGCCAAGACGAGCGTTGGAAGAGGCGATACTGCGATGCAGCTCGTACATGTAGCGCGACGAGACCGAGGTGCTGGTGGTGTTTTCGATGTGGATGCGAACCTCATCCATGTGCATTAGCAGCGATGCAAACGTGCAATCAACGACGTCCAATGCGACATTAAATCGAGCGTCCTGGAAACCAAGTACGTGGCGGTACAGCTCGTCTCGAAGGGTCACAAGCTGACCAAACTCCAGTACCGTCAAACGCTGCTGTAGGTCACGAATTGTCGGCGTTACCACAGGTAGGTCTGGAGCTTGGTACCCTGCTAACACTTTGGCTACGCTCTGATCCTCCTTTGTTGTCGTTCCAATGTAGGCAAACGCCTTGGTTAGTGACTCCAACAGCCAAGCCCCGCGAGTAGAAATCCACTGAATCGACAGCTTCGGCGACGCATTGGCGTACGCAGCGGCTCCACGGCGAATGGAGTGGCTGGTCATATTCGGCGTCACCGTTAGGCTGAGATCAGGAGGCATCGACTTCAACGAATCTCTAATGACCTCGGTAATATAACTTGCGATATTTGGTCTCTTCCTCTCTCGCTTTTGGGGCGGCTCCGACGTGCTGTTATCGTCTTCTAATAGTTGACCCCAGTACAAAACAGCTTCCTCTTGTGAATACGGTTTATTACCGGGAAGGTCGGACTCTGCGAAATTAGGTGCCAACGGAAACAAATATTCGGAGGGCTCGTCGTAGCAGATAAACAGCAACCCGAATGCGTGAAGCATAGACTGCTGCCATCTCTCCGGGGACTTATATATTGAGACGCCTTGAACCATAGAGGTTTCGATCCGGGCAATGTGTAGGAAAAGCTCTCCAGAAGCTGAAATCGAGAGCTGTTGTTTACGTGCAAATCAGGTATCGACAGCTCTTCCAAATGTATGCCACATCATAGTCAACAGAGCCGCATCATGTACAGACTTCAAACCGGTAGCCACGTCAGCTTTCGCAATTAGATACCCAACGAGTACACTTAGATCATCCACGTTACACCCAGGAGCGTCATTGGCTTGCACATTTGCGCGCAAATTCCTCTCTTCTATGTAACTAGCCATTTTGTCCCGAATCTTGGCAATTCTCTTAGGGTCACCACGAGAGTTGGTGTAGCCCTCGCGAAGCATGTTCACAACTTGTGAAAAATACCCTACCGCTGTCGATTTTGCTAGTAGTCCATCCGCCGCTCTCGCCTTGTTGCTTTTCTTCGTCTGTATGTAAATCGAAAAAGCTGTTAGCAATGAGTACATGTTCTGGGTCGGGAGACTAGCTAATTCTCTATGAGCTTTATGTATGCCATCTAAATCGACTTTCGATAATCCTATTGAAGTGAGGAACTTTTCAAACATCTTCTCCGCCGCAATCTCTTGCCCTATTGTGCCAGCAGGAGTGTCCAGACCTCGTGAAGCTCTCCTCATTGCCTCTCGCAGTGTGAATCCCGCGCGTAATGCAAGCTGGTCGGTTGCATGGCGTCTCATCGTGATGTTTTAGTCTATATTTACTCTTCAACCGCATGAATTTTTTTCTCTGGTACAGACGCCTTTTACGCGATAATACATTATGTGACTTGATTTTACTAAGGCGTCTTATCTCGAAATTTCGAGAAAGCCGGACAATTTCGGAAATAAGCTGGAATGAACTACACCTACCCCTAAATAGCGGCTATTGGGTGGTTTGAGCAAATAAAAGTTCATGCTGTCCAGCGATTGGCTGTGGATTTTTTTAGCTTACACTAGGGGTGGGGTCTCCATCAGGAATATACTTATCCTACAATAATCCCGATAAGCCAGATTTTCAATCAACACCCTCAACTACGATGGCAAATGGAGAGTTATTGCTAACTCGGCTATCGGGTCTCTTCCAGCAAGACCCGCTCATGTACGTACAGTCCGGGTACTTTTCTCCCGTATCTTCAGCAATTCAGTGTATTTGTACGCTCATCGAACTCGCAATATCATCGTCTAAACGACCCCCAGTGACGAAGTGGGGCTGCTTTTCGGTATCGAGTCGAGCGACCTGACGACCGAGACGGCCTTCTTCCTGGAAGATCATAAACTCGGGGTTGCCTTCGCAGCTGGGATTCCGCTGTTCCAAGCTGCTCGCACTCAGTTCCACCCGCTAAACGCGCTCTTGCAGCAAGAAGCGCCTGAGATAACGCAGTTTGAGTTCAGCGAACGTCGCGCTCAGCTGCTGCACTGTACACGCGCCATTCTCCTTATCAGTGCTGACTTCTACACTGCGTGGAACACTCGGTGAGGCTGCCTGATTAGATCTATGGATAACTTGAGGAGGTTTTTGACATTCTTGTCGTAATAGGAAGTCGTTTGTGAGCCGTGGGTGGCTGGACGCTCAAGACGAGGTGCAGTTCACTAATTTAGTGTTTACGCTGCACCCGAAGAGTATTGATACGTGGGCTTATCGGTGAGGGGGTAGAGACGAGATAAATGCGGCATTATGTCTAGGATCTGACAGTGGTCGTGTTATTACAGACGCTCGCTGGCTATTCGACTGTGTGAGTCTCTTAGCGAAGAAGAACTTCACAACTTTTACGAGCAGCAGATCGAGGTTTGCAGTCGACTGGCTGAGCAGAAACCGCGGAATTATCATGCGTGGAGCTTCCGTCATTGGATCGTGTCTCGACTTCCGCTGGGTTTGGCGCGCAAGGAGCTCGAGGACATGGAGATTTGGTGTAGAACGCATGTAACTGATCACTCGGGATGGAACCATCGTCAGCACACCTTGAATGAGCTGTTAAAGAAGTACCGGCGAGACTCTGGAGAGGTGGATGCATCGCATAAGGTGCTTCTTGCCGAGTACAAGTTTGTGTCGGATATCATGGCTTCCTACCCTTCCCACGAGGCGCTGTGGTGCCATCGACGCTACGTTATCCAGTACTTGTTGAACGGCGTTTCAGGGAAACTATACAGCGAAGACCCGGCATCTCTACGTGTCGATATTGCAAGCATTCTCTCAGCCCCAACCGAAGCAATTGCAAATGCGCCACTGAGTGAGTTGTGGGATGAGACTTTGAAGACATTGAAGAGTAGTTCGGTGCTCCATGCAATCATGCAAGAGATTGGGCTCGCTTGGAAGTGTGGGAATCAGTTCTCTCGACGGTATGCAGCCTGGTGTCTAGCGCGGCTTCGTGTGTTCCTACGAGACAGACCAGCAGTTGGGGAGGAGGAGAATCAGCTCGGAGCTTTGTCACACGATCTCAACTCTTTGGCATCGAGGTTGCAAGGGCACCTGGCCCAAGAAGATAGCGTGTTAGAAGATCTGTGGCGTGGCGCATTAGGAAGCCGTCCCAGAATTTGATGCATAGAAGGTTTGCATACTGACTGGAATAAATTTTACTCGTACGGGTGTGGCCACTGTTTTGTATTTTGCCTTTCCGCACCAGCCTGAAGTAACACCAGCATCAGACACGAAGCTGCTGTTACTTTGGCAGATACGCGGCCTTTATAAAAGACGGACTACTACTGTACGATTAGAAAAGAAATACTGCAGGAGTCGCGAGTAGCGTGGACGCGAGCATCTCCAAGTTAACATGGAGCAGTAGTAGGATCTGCAGAAGGCTCATGGAAGAAACCTTACCTTTCCAGTGCTCGTGTTGAGGCACTGCAGACCGGGGTTGACGACAGTTTGAGGTCGATCGAACAGCACAGGAGATTGTCAGAAGGATGCTCGGGCGATCGAGTGCTCTGGCGGATGCGTTCCGGACACGCATACGCCAACGCTCTGCAGTCTGCGTTGATGATGGTCAACCGGCGGTTTAGAACCAGAGTCACCGCTCGTACATTGTGTCTGAACGAGTTAAGAGAGCTGGAGCAAGTAGGAACTACTGTAGACCTTGGCGAACTACTTGATACTCAACAAACATCACCTTATATGTCGTGTAGTTAGTTACCTACCTGCCTTGTCTCCAAGGAAGGTCAAAACTTGCAAACACCCACAGCAGTCGGAGGAATCAGCACGTGTCATTCATTAGAGGAGGTTACGAGTTGTTGGCCGTTGCAGCAACGAACCGAGCGATGCCATTGACGATCGTGCCCTGGGAGAAATGATAAAGCAGCCGCAGCTGCCACGCCGTGCCCATTCCGTATTGTTCATAAATATCTTGAAGTGTCAGGAAGTTCTCCAGCTCCTGGTCGCACTGCAAGTCCTGGCGGATGGCAACACCGGTGTCTTTCCGAGCTTTGGCCAATTCGCTCAGACCACTGAGCGTGCAGTTCACACAAGGTAGAACGATGCACATGTTATCGTACGTGTCAAGCTTAAGTAGAGCAGCCAGGTGTTTCTTCAAGTGGCGAATCTTCAGCTTGGGCGACGTGGTAAACAGCGTGCGTTCCAGTTTAGGCGCATTGGGCTGTTCGTCTTCATGTAGCAGCACACGGAAGTTCACACGATCAGCCACGGTGTCTGCCGGCTTGGAGGCAGCAATTTTGGCCTTCTTGCGCGCTGATTCGTCCTCCGAAGCAGCCGCAGACGACGGAGCCGTGTCATTGGGCGAGCCACCATCAGGAGAGTCGCGCTTTTCTCCAACTGGAGGTGACGGCGTGTTCGTTGGAGACGACGAGGCCGACGTGGCTCCTTCCGTCTTCTTTCGACCGTTGCGCCGTGTCGCCGCCTGACTAAGCACGCCCATGCGTGCGCTCTCTGTGTAGGCATTGTGGAAATGTCTGGTCCGGTTAACCTTCTCGATGATCTGGTCCTCGTTGCGCTCGAACTCGGCCAAATTGGGGTGAATCTTGCGGATCAGTGCGTCGAAGTTGGCGTCAGGACGTAGTGAACGCTTGGACGGGATGTGGATGCGGCACGACGGACACTCGCGATTGCTGTGGCGGATGGCGGTGGAGATGCACTCACCGCAGAAGCGGTGTAGACACTCCATGACCACCATCGTCTCCTTGATGATGCCTAGGCAGATAGGACACGTGAGATCGGCGTTTAGCTGCCGCACTGACAACGTCCTGGTCGCGTTAGGGTCTGTCACGGGAGCACGCGGCTGGCGGTAGATGTCGAATAGCGTACAGTCGTCCACGAGCTCGATCTCCTCGTACTTCGAGCGCTTGCTGATCTGACAGTTGGGCGTCCTCGCCACCAGACTGTCGTAGTCCTCCCGTGTGAAGGTGTACGGGTTCTGCGGCGGACCCTGCTCCATCGCTGCGATGTAGTTCGATGATGATAATTCGGTTGGCGCGGTTTTGCCGCCATTATTGTGAGAATTAGTGCGGGCAGATTAGCATTAGGTATTGCAGGTGGGTTGCACACAATTCGAACACGATTTAAGCTTGATGCTGTGGGCTGACGTGGCTCACATCGACTTTATCTCCTCAAGTCCGTCGATCATGGCGCCCAACCTCAAAATGATGGGCGTGACGCTCACTCTAGCGATCGCCACGCGCTCCGTGCTGGACACCAACGACACATGTGCGTTAGTGTCTCCGCTGCAACTACTCTAGTTTCAGTACATTTACTTTAGTGCTCGCTGTACCACATGCACACCCCACAGTCCAAACGACCATTGTGCAGAGCATTTACGGTCTCTCGCAGCTCTTTTGCTATGGCGTACTGCTCTATCTTTACGTCAAGGCCAAGAACAACACGGAACCTGGTGTAGTGACTGTAAAGGAGGACTTGGGCTTCGGTCAGACTGGAGACCGCGATGAGAAGATCACGGTGGCGGAGCACGACCAGCGCGTGGCCATGAAGGAGATCCAACGCGTATGTGGGAAACCTGCAAAGTTTAAGTGCAAAGCATTCTACTGATACTATTGTTTCTTTTTTTCAGTACGCTCTGGGCACGGCCGTGACGGTGCTGGTGCACTGGAAGTGGGGCTTCTTCCCGCCGCTTGTGATCCAGTCCATCACACAGCCTTTTAACCTGTTCCAAGCACCCATTGTCAAGGTGACGCTGCTGGGTGAGCGTGCATGGGGAGAGCTGCGTCGTCCCTGGACGGACCGTAACGATATGAGCAAGTCCATCAACTCGTGGAACGATACGATCATGTCGGCCATGGGCGAGACTCCGGCCAAGGTCAACAAGAAGGCCAGCAAGAAGGCTGCCAAGCGCAAGAACAAGTAGAAAAGAACAGAGACGAGATAGATTGAGAGAGATGGTGTTCTTCTTCTTCTTTCACCGACGCCGTGACGTCGCTGTAGATACGAAATCGGCCTCATCGCGAGGACAAAGCTGCTCGTATGGCACTTTCTTGACGACTCGACCGGTGCGCAACAGCAGATCGAACCGGTTCACTGAATGCACGTGTGCAATCTTGGCCTTGTACGTTAGCTCTTCGTCGTCGGAATTGTTGTTTTGGGCGTCGGGAACCCACAGGATCTTGTCTCCTTTTGTGTATTGATAGCACGGCAGCTCTTCCGGTTCGTCAAGCAGCTCCATATTCGACGCTAAGACGGCGTCGAACAAACTGCCATTGTCTGCGCGGATGTTGTAAAAATCCGACTTCGGAATGCGACGGCGCACTGATCCTTTGAACCAACGATGCTTCGCTCGGAAGAGAACGCGGTCGTCTCTGAAAAACACAGGCATCAGCTCGTTCTCGTCTTCGGATTCTTGTTTCGATGAAGTTCTCACTTCTGCTTCGGAATCCGACGACTCTGACGAAGACACAGCTACGAATCGGTTGGCCGAGTTGACACGACGCAATCCGTCAGCATGAGCTCGGATCCTCATCAAATTCTTGAGCTTGTACGAAGAGGCTAACCACTGATCCTGGGTCGATCCGTGGAGATGTTCACGTTGCTGTGACTCAGATTTCGTACATGCTAGAGAGCTCTCTAACTCGGGTCGGAGCCCTGGGAACTGCACATGGAGTTCTTGACCGTTCCACTTGACAGTGTGCTCATGGTTGGGTTTTGCGTTGGCGACGCTGGCGACCATAATCTTTGCCACGTCTTGGTTGCTTCGCTCAAAATGAATTCTGTAGTCTGCCACTCGGGTCTTTTTTGGTTTCCTGACTGCCTTGGAGCTCACAGAAATGCTCTCCACGGTCGGAGATAAGACTTCTGCCAACGGCTTGACATTGGACAAGTCTAGCGTTGGAATTTCCACCAACAAATTGTCTTCCTCTGCGCTGATATTGCCGGTTAACAAATGGTTCTCCTCCTCAACGGATGCGAGCTGCTGTGTTGAAGTGTCTTTGTCTGTTGGAACCGAATCATTAGCAGAATCTTTGACGGTAGAGGTAACGTTGTCTTGCCGGACACGCTTGGGCGGAGACTTTGTCGGTGACTTTGGCGGTAGGATCCACTTTTCCCATGGAATGGAAACGCGATTTCTGCTTTGATAAACGTCTTCGTCTTCGAGGAAAAACCTGTCAAAGTGTGGATCGTACACGACGTTAAAGAGCTGATTGCTAGGAGGACTGTTAGCCTCTTCATTTTTGCGTTCGGCCGCGTTACCGTTCTCCATTTTCGAGCACAACCGACGAGACAGGAATAAAAGAGTGACGCTATTAGCTCTAACCCGAGCGAGGACCGGAGTGCTCTTGGTGTCTAGCTAGACCTACAGTACGTGTATCTAAATCAGCAGAGGGCTACTCACGACCGAGAATCCCGTAGCCACACCGCCTTCATCAGTTCCTGAAAGCTTCGTGCGCAGCAGATGACCGGCGTGTTTGTTGACGATCGCCTTCCCTTGACCATCGAACAAGCTCGTGATGAACATGCCGAGCTCGCTGATCGTAGGACCGCTGGACGTGCGACTATTGCGCATGAGAACGGCCGGATTCTCCTTGGGGAAGATACGCGCCATCAGGATGTACGACTCCAGTTCAGCGGGGCTCATCTTCTGGATAGCTGTAGCAACTTCGTCGCCGTACAAATTGTTACCTCCACCCTCACGCTGCGGCTTGAGAACGTACGAGCGTGGGTTGGCGACCGCCATCTTCTTGACATCCTCGATAGTCGTCGAGTCCTGCTCAAGTCCGTAGAGACCAGCGAACGACGTCTCCAGCTCCTTGGCTTCTTCTTCCGACACGAAGCGACGCAGCACCGCAGGCTGTGCAAGCACTTGCTGGACCTTCTTGGTGCCAGCCAAGTGATAAGCGATCGATGGACACTTGATGGCGTACGAGCGCTCGATTAGAGTGCGGCCAGCCCATTCGTGCTCCGTCGGGTAGTCATTGGGCGTGTACGCAGAGCGGAAGTACGCGACAGATACTTCACGTTCATCAATCACCAGTGTACGCTTGCCATCACGCTCTACCAACTTGCCACGTGCATCCACCTCTGCCATAGTACGACGCAGCACGCGGATGCCGTGGTGCTCCCATAAATTGTACTCGAGCCAGCGCTGGTCGATGGCGTTGGCCTCGTTAGGTTGCACTACGAACATGACGACAGCGCTGCAGAGCATCGAGCAGCATCGTTAGTCACAAGTATGAGCCTATACAAGACTAGCATGTAAACGCTGATAACGCACTCCTTAGCACCGTAGAGCGTGTGTGCAGCCGCTAGGGCGTTGGGCAGTTCCGTAATTGCTTCGTTCTGCGGCAATCCGTTGGCATACTCGGTCGACGCGATGCCGTAGTGTTTCTCCAGAGCAGGAATCTCCGCTCCTAGTCTGCTCACCAGGAAGCTGGCAGCAACGGCAGTTTTGTAAGTCCAATTGAACTAAGATCAAAGTATAAAATACGCTGCAGACGGACCTGTGCATGCCTGAGACGAGCGAGCTGATGCAGGCGAAGGAGGACGAGATGGTATTGAGCTCCACCTGCAACAAACGCTGCGAGTCTCCAGCCACGTCTGCTTGGGGCTCGTGCAGCATGTAATCTGAGCGATGAATACCCAGATAGGCCTTCTGTTGGACACCTTCTTGCTGAACAAGCTTCGACAGTTCCAGTAAACGAGCTGTGAATGCGTCTTCAGCCACGACACTCTGGACGCAGCGGTGCAGCCAGTCCACATCGCGACTCACGCGGTCCACCAGGCGGCCATAGATGGGTGACAGCTTGACGCCGTGCTCGAACTGTGCTTTAGGGAATTGCACGGGCAGCAGGCACAAGGGGATGTGCGTGAAGGCAGGCGTGTGCTCCTTCGGCTTGCTAGGATCGCGCCATCCGACGAGTAGACCATGCGCCGCCGCGTACGCGATCGCCTGCTCCTTCACATCTGCCAGCTGCGCATCGCTAAGGCCGATAACGGCGCCGCTCTCTTCGCTCTCGATCGTATGCGGCGTCGCAGTGACAGCAGCCAGGAGATCCGCCATGACTTAGCTTTTGAGAAAATGAGTCGCGAGATTACGTATTTGATTTCCGACATATTGATTGGCTACTATGATAGAGGAGACCGACGATTGGATGAAAGGCGAAATCCGTTACAAACTCTGTTTGAAGCCATCGTCCACTGAGATGTCCGCGGCGGCGACGAGCTCCAGCGCAGCGTGCAAGGTCCTTTTAACAGAGAATACAGTCTCGACTGAATGTACGTCGTGTTGCTATTGCATTGGTGTGGGTTTTGTGGCTGGTAGTATTGCCGGTGGCTTGTTATCTGCTACATTTGACACTGCTCGAGCGAATCGGGGTTGCTTGGTGGTGTTTGTGGATCTCTTTTAAATTCTTACTGCGGGGTAAATGTAAATAGTGTGGCTCAACGCAGATGATGAAGACGAGCAGATGGAGCGGTGGCGCTCGCGACTACGCGCGTTCTACTGGGCGCACGACCCCCGCAAAGTCGATCGCGTCGTCGATATCCTGGCTAACCATCGGGTGCGTACTGCTCGTAGTCTTACAGCAATGAGGAAGTACTAACAATAATGATATTACCAGGGCAAAGAAGAAGCGTTTTTGCAGCGAGTGCACCGCGAATTTGGCGTCCGTGACTTCAGCGGCGAAGAAGCGATCGACGATATCTACGAGCACCAGCGCTACTCGTATCTGAGCTTCTCGTGGGGTTCCTCCTTCCCCGGTGCGTGTACTCTAAAGCTGCCAGGTAGCTTATCAATACATCAATGACTGACATGTATTGTTGCAATTGGCAGGACACCTTCTACCGACAGACCGCCATCAATGGAGTGGACTACATGGCTCACCGTCTAGCCAGACCCGCACGAAAGTGGAGCCTCAACTCCCTGTGAACTGGAATTGGACAAGTGATTGGGTTGTCGACAAAACCTCCTGTAAGTGTGACGCAGATGGATGGGTGTATGCTTTGGACTTTACCATGATCAACTACTTGGTCAAGAAAGGTGAAGAGCGCAGTGAGCCGAATGCAACCGACTATGTGCGACGACGACGGTGGGTCCGGACACGACGTCGCGTGCTCGATGATATTCCGCCAACAGTGTTACCAGGAACTGCTACCACCATTATCAAACTCGAGTCTGCCAGCAGTGATGAAGCCAATAACATTGTGAAGTGGGTAGTTGCTAGCAACTCGGGGGCCTCACCAAAATCTCCCAATAAGAATGACGTAGCAGAAACCTCTATTCTGGAAGAGCTTGACAAGTCCAGCGATTCCGAACGACCAGGATGTCCTACACCGCCCAAAACTCAGCCAGCATCTTCGCCGCCCATTCAACTAGAGCATTTCTCGATGGGTTTGGACAAAGTTGCGTTCGATGCTGCGTGGAAATCCGCTGTGCAAGACCTGGAACAAGTTTACTTGTGGTCAAAAGAGCAACGAGCGAAAACGAAGCAGAAGTGGGGGGTCAAGAAAGAAAAAATAAAGCGACAGATGCATCTACTTGAGAAGACGATCGTGTCGATGCAAGCGGTTGCTCTAGAGGAAGAGCAAAAGCGACAACAGGAAAGAGCACAGTTTCCAGGCAGTACTCGCAACAAGAAGCAGCAGGATGCGATGCCCTCACCGACAAGTAAAGCTACTCCCACAGAAGCCTCAATGGACAGTCCAACGAATGCCGTCAATCTAGCAGCAAGAATGCACTGCGCACAGTCGAAACTTGATGCTCTGCGACGATTCTACTGGCATCCACGTGAGAAGGGCTACTCCCTGCGCTTCAGCATTGACGGTATATTCTACGGACTTCGCGATTTCTTCGTTGAAAGTTTCGCTGGATCATACTCGATCCAGATCAGTCACCAGACGAATGGCGCGCAGGGAATTACTCCAACGTGTAAAATCTCGATGAAAGGCCACACAGTTTGTTGCGGTAAACACGTGAAGGTTGTCGGGGAGAAAGGAACGCGCATACCGAAGTCGATCTGGGACAGCATGTACATGGACTCTGACTTTGAAGCCTCCATCAACCTCATCTACGTGGAGGATATTGAAGACCAAAGCGCCGTGGGTCAAGGTAGATGGGAGTTCCTCTTTTCACCCGAGGCGACGTATGTTGAGCTCATTAACTTCACAAGACGCGTGAAAGGTGGTATGGATCTACCCGAGCCGATGGTCCGCAAGCTCTGCTCTAATGTGTTGAGCTCTCTTATTCGAGATTTGACATTGCTTTACTTCCCGTCTGAACTGGCGTTAGCTTTCAATTTGCCTCCAGCCAAACTTGATCTTAAAGGGGAAATCAAGATAACCGGACTGTCTATTGACCATGTCATGGAGAAAGAACTCAAGGAGATGGACTTACATGCGATTCGAGAAGAACAAGCCAAGCAAAAGCTGCGCGAACAAGCAGGTCAAGCTAATGGTGGAGATGGAAATACTACACGCCCTTCAAGTCCCATCAAAGATGCTGCCTCGGCTGCTGCACTAATGTTCTCGTCGTTGCTGACTGGTTCGAACAAGGAAATGCAAGCCATTGCCGAGGTGTTGCACCTATCTCTGCCGCAGTTCAACTTGCTCATCGCTCTCAAAAACAGCAGCCTCTTTCCTGCTACGTACAGTTTCCGCTCACTCGCCTCGATGTGTTCGTACTACAAAACATTCTCGGTTGCTGAAGAAACGATGGAATCGAAGGGAGACAACGACGGGGAAAGGGAAACTCAAGACGAGAGACTTCGTGCTACGTGGAAGCGCGTCCTTGAACTGGTTTTCATCAAGAAAGCGCAGACAGAAATCCTGTCGCCGAAAGCCCGGTCGCCTAAGGAGATGTCGTCACGAGAGACGGATTCGACTGTATTGCAGACCCAATTCGAGCTGTTTGATATCGACAAGTTGTTCGACACGATCAAACGTTTGTCGAAGAAGCCAGCGAGTGTCCAAGTCTCGGTGAAGCATTTTTACTCAACACTCAACGCTCTCAACGTCGTCGAGGCTCTAACAAAGCTGTACGAGCGCATTGTACTCGGTATCGACTATAGCAAGCCACGGACCGGAGCAGATGGCTTCATTTATGGAATTCGTCTTGGACGGAAGGCTACCGTCCACCCGGCAATGGCGAAGGCAGCCGCTGCAGCTGCAGCATCAGCCGCAGTGAACTCGGACGGTGAGATGCATCCTGTGGGCTCACCTCCAGTTCTTGACTTGAGGCGATATCGACCAGCTGAGGTTTCATTCCGGACTAGAGTCCAGGCATTCAGTAACTTCTGGCAGACTTTGAAGAAGGTGATTGAATTTGTCCGAGAAAATGTTGACGACGTGAGTGCTGAACTTGCTGGTAGTGTGAGGGGGACTGGTGAGGATTGTGAGCTCAATGGGTCGTTTAAAGATGCCGACTATCGTGGACCTTTAAGCATGGGGCTAGCCGTGCCTCCATGTTTCCTCGGTTTTTACCGTGCTGAGATGGTTACCTTGGGGAACGATCGTGTTGGAATGCAAGTGGATGTTATGCTTCCGTCCGATGCTGCCAATACTACGGCCGATGGTACACAGCAGCAAACTGTTAAAGCTTTGGAGCCTGTAGGACGTGTCATGTTGGCAGATTTATCCACTGAAGTCCTCCTAGACCTCGACGCACTGATAGCACGTGAAGAAGAGCGTCGAGAACAAGCATTGTCAGCAGCTAAAAAGAAGAAGTTGGCTTCCCCCAAGCAGACCAGTGCAGCTGGAACAACCTTCAAGAAACCAAATCATCATTCCGCGTTGAGCTTCTCCTTTGGCCCAAGTAAAACTGAAGGTGACGACGCTAATGTACCGTTACCGTCAACTCCTAGGGCCTTGGGGCAGCTCAACGTCAGTACCAGCGAGTTCACCAAGCTCCACACCACAGCTAAAGCAGGATCTTTCATGCTACGGCTGCTGTCAATCGCCGACTATCTGTTCACACACTATGTGCAACCTCACATCATGAAGGCGTTCCCACAGCATCAGGTGTTGTTTGATACAGCCAAAAGGAACATAATGGCATTGCTACAGTCGCCAAAGCTCGAGTTGGACTTCGATATCATGGCGAGAGCATTTATCCACGAAGACAAAAGCCTCATGCTTACTTGTTGCGGTTCCCCGCTGCACCCAACACCAATGACGTTCAAAGATGAGGTGAACTTACTTGACATTATCCTGCAGGTGGATGACCTGGTAAACATTTGGATCGACGATCGGTATCCACCGTACTCGAATCCGCTTTACTTCTAAGACAGCAACAAGGGAAAGACATCTTTAACAACAAAAAATGGAGTGTTAATTCCGATAAATACATGAATGGCTGGAGCCTCATTAATGGAGCTACACCAACACGATTTTCACCTTCGCCTAGTGCGTACAACCTCATTGACATGAGTAGTGCTTCTGCAACGAATATCACCGTGTTCAGCCCATTGGGCGAACGCTGTCCTGCACTACCCTACATCCTCATCATATTATTCTCACCGCCTAGGCCTGCGTAGGTAGCAGCTCCACCCCCAGAACACACGCACAAAAAGTAGTCCCTGGTGCCACCTAACAAGAACAGCACCAAGTTAGTTGCCACCTAGGCAGAGCGAAGGCTTCGACAAAGCCCCATTCGACTTACAGGGCGTTATCACAATGCGGTCATTACACTGCCTCCATCGTTGACTCAGCTGGCAACAACTTTTGGAGCTGAACCACTTCGTCGGACAGCATCGCAATCTGAGTATCTGCCTCCTCGATACTGGTCATGCATTGCGCATACTCCGCGCGTATTGCATCGAAGTCAAGTTCATCCTTGTCAGTATTCGATGCGTCTGTACAAACTGGCTTCTCGATAGGGGCATTGCACAAGGTCGCTGCTCGTACATTGTCGCTAAGTGCTGTTGTCGAGGCATCCTATTGCCGTAAAGCAAGACCAAATAACCACACAAAACAAGCGATTAGTGCTTCGCCCAAACACACGAACTCACCCGCACTAGGCACTACGCCGCCGCAGCAGGCTCAATAGATTTCTTTACGCAAGGTTGGCTCGCGCGATCTCCGTTTCGCCCGTCACTGCTCGCCGGCACTTGGGGCTGCAGTACAGGAGGCGAAACGCGCATATCGACGAATATACTGACCCCTGAAATATTACTGCGCTCTCGAGTCTCCGACTCAGGTTTCTGCGCTGCTGCTGTGTCGGTTGGTGAACAAGCAGCAAGTTGACTCGGTTTCCCCTCTTCCACACCTACGCTCGTTTGCACACCAATGCTACCGGGAGTCCTCTCGTTGTCAGCTTTGTCCGCAAGTGGCCCAGTCGGTGGCTTCTTCACAACTTCGGTAGCTGAGGATCTTACCACGGGATTTTTTGTTGTAGCACCTGACAGTAGAGTCACCACAGTACTCACCTTCTTTTTCGGGGACAACTGACATGGAGTAGATGACAACGACGCTGGACTGGACGAAGACATTGACGGATGCTTCAACACTCTTGCTGCAGCGTTCTCCAACAAGCGACTCGTCTGTTCCTTCTCACGCTCAGCAATCTTTCGCCGCATTTCTTTAATTGCGTCTTGCAAACTACTTGACGCCGTTGCCTTTGTGCGTGTATCCTCTCCGCCTTTGCGCGGTGAAAAATCCTCTGGACTGAGAGTGATTACTAACGACTGAGAGCACGCTGTCAGAGGGCGAAACTCAGGGGTAGTGACAACATGTTCAGCTGAAGGCTTTGCTTGATCTACTGCACTGATCGAAGGAGGTTCTGCCTTGTCTCCTGCTCCGTTCTCCTGCAATAACGCTATAGATTCACCAATCTGAGAAGACGATTCTTGGAGTGCCACACGCTCAGCGTCAGATGTATCGCTTATCTTCGGCTGCGTAGCCTTGAGCGCCTCGTCCACTGTAATTACAGTCGCCTGGGCTGGTGAAGGTTTATCGTTGATCACGTCATCCACAGCAGCCCTATCAACTGTATTTGACTCCCTTACAAGTGGTGTCGATACTTGAGCATCGTCCTGTTCGTTGTCAACAGCTCGTTGCCGGTTTCGTGTCATGGATCGTAAAATCTCCAGCCGAAGCTCATTTTCGCTTTTGGGACTTGCTGGTTCTGAAATTGAGCGTTTACTCTCGACGTGACTTGGTCTCGGAGGAGATGACGATGACAACGATGAAGAAGTATCCATCTCGGTCGTTGGCGGATCTGTAGGTGTCGTTGATGTCTTCAGAGACCGGTTAACTTTACTTCGGAGGGCAGCCGCTCGAAGGCTGTCCAGGTCAAAATCGTCAGAGTCGTTGCGCTCCTTGGTGGGAACAGGGCTCGAAGTACGAGCACGACTTTGGTGGGGTATCGGAGGAAGACGTGATTGATCGCTTACAGATCGCTGCAATTGATGACTCGGTATACCTGGCATGGGTCTGCTGGGTGCAGTTATCGGCACTGATCGGTACTTGAACCCTCCCTGCATCAGAGGCTCCGAGAACATCGCGTTGAGGGGACGCCCCACCTCGACACCAAGCATTTCCATACCTCCTTGACGGTTCACTCGCAAAATTTGGCTGTCTTCGTATGGCGGTGGTGGTGGCATTGGAGGATTTTGTAGATGATGCTGTGGTGAAGGCCTCATCGGAGGATAGACGCCAGCAGCAGCTGGACGTCCTGGTTGAAAAGGGGCTGGAGGTGGATCTTGGAAAACAGGACGAATATTCATCACGTTGCTTCTTGGATCGTTCCGCATCATCGCAAGCGTGTATTGTCCTGGTGGCGGACCTTCTGCAAACGGTCGCCGACGAGTTGCTCGCTCAAAATCAGGTATTATTTCTCCTGGTGGGGTATGCATCATCTGCATCGCCTCCAGTTTCCGTTTGCTCTTTTTCTTGCCGCGCTTTTTCTGCTTCTTGACACGCTGGTGAGGACGTATACCCATCGCGTCCATGGGGTATGCGTCAAGCTGGCCCGGTCGGTTCTCTCGCATCATTGCCTGCTGAGCCTGCATCGTCGGCTTCGGGGCCGCTCCTTCTTCGAAGATCTCTCCGTCTTCCAAACTCTCGGCCTCGACAACTCGATTGATGGGTGATGGTAAGCCAGCCGTGTCCTTTTCTGCTTCTCGTGCTTGGTTACGAAGGTCTTCGTCCACATCATCGCCGTCTCCAACTAGCGGAGGTGTAAGCGTTTGCTGTCTAGTCGCTTCCATTTGAGTAACCCGTTCCAGATCACTTTTCTTCTGTTGATCCTGTAGAGCCTTGCACATAGTATCCAACGCTACTTCGTCATTCTTCTGCGTCTGGCCATGAGAATACGGTTCACTCACAGGCGTAGGCATAGTCGTGCGCGACGACATCGACTGAGATGTCAAGGAAGTGGCCAGATCATGCACAGAAGAAGCCAACGATAGAGGCATCGGCGACGACGTTATTGGAGGCACAGCCGGCCAGTCCTCGTCCACATCCGACTCGATTTCTTCAGCTTCTGGTACCATCATGTCCGACGACTGTTGCAGTGACTGCGCCACCGCCATCTCCTTATTATTATCGATGCCCAATGTGCTCAACTTGACTGCATCTGAAGCTGCAGAACTCGCATTAGTTGTCGTAGCAGCAGCAGCAGCAGCAGCGCCAGGTACCGACTGTTGGGTCCACATAGGCTCGTCCTCGTCCTCATCGTCGTCATCTAGAGTCAGATCAATTGCCTGACCCGACGAGTTGCCACAACTACTTGGAGTCTGTTCCGGGTCAGGCTTAAACACTACTGGCCGCTCTGCAGCAACGAAAGGAGCTCCATTAGTGGGCCTCCCCAACTGAAAAAGCGCAGAGCTCGCAAGCGGCGCTGTAGGTCTCACGCCAGGGGGGTGCGACAGTGGTCTCTTGATCTGGGAAAAGCTCTGTGACTGGTTCTGGGTATGCAACGCTCGCTGTTGGGCCTTCCACTGCTCCTTGCTACGAACCATACGCGGCTGACTCTTTTCAGCTAGACTTCGCGGCTGTTACGGAAAAAATTGGAGCTAAAATAAAAGTATCTACACGTATCCGTGATGCTGAGTAATCGTCTTCGCTACTGCTTGCGTCGCTATCTTTTGTCTGCAGGTCGTGGTGAGCTCCCGTCACCCACCGCTCTCACTCCTGTTTGCAGCCAAAGAGGGGCTCGGCATGCTAAATACGATTCGAGAATGATTGTCAATCTGGTGTACGCGAACATATTCCGCATCCAATGTCAGTTTGCTTCCCATTCACAATCGGAAAATCAGCCTGATCCGCAAGTTGAAGCCCAGGTATTGTCTAGTCATGGTTCCTGTTCCGCACTACGCCAAGTCCGTCGCTCTTAAGAACTCGACGTCGCACCCAGTGACGGTGGTGGCGACTTTCGGCTCCGACGAATTCGAGGCTGAGGGCAAGGCCAAGATCAAGGAGACGTGTGAGTTGGCTCCGGGGGAGGAGAAGACCATCCAAGAGCGCGAGTACGACATGGGCGGCTGGACGGCCACGGCTGCGCTCTTCTCGCTAGAGGTGGAGCACTCGACGAACAGCAAGCTGCTGGGCAAGACGCTCTACACGCCTAGCGTCAGCGGCATAGTGGACGTGCTACACGTCGATATTGGAGCGGACGAAGAGGCCAAGAACTTCAAGGTCGCGGCTGTGCGCGAGGCCTAAGCTGTTGCAGTAGGAGATTTGAGGCTTCAGTTGCATTTGTCAACGTAGTCTTCGTCATTCTAAAACAAAACCTGTTTTTCTTTTATGGAATGGTTAGCAATTGGTTTGGTCGGTCGCCTGGTCTGGTCGTGCCGTGGATGTGGTGAGCTTGCCCTGCGTGTACGCCATAAATACTTGTGATCTTTGTCCAAGCTACATTGTCAGCTAACGAGACGTTAGCTAGCTGGGTGGTGGGTTCTCTCTCACCTCAGCTAGTGCTTCCTATCACCACTGTCAAAATCTCTACACATTCCGAGAAGTCAGCAAGGCGCTACGCTGTCGTATGAGGAACCAACATACAGGAAACTTACACGATGTGGCTCCCAGACGAGATGTCATCAATCGGTGGGCGTCCATACATGACCATAGACGAGTTACTTGACATCTTGTAAGCTGGTAGAGGCTGGTTTGTAGCCTCTCCGGCGTCCCGTATCTCAGTTTCGCCCATTGGTGAGTTGGAATAGTATGCGCTACCCGCATCAGAGCGTGGTGATAAAGGCGAAGCGGGTGTTCCTGGAGAATACGGCGCTGGCAAGTAGCTCGTGTCGCCGCTTTCTGATCTTGGCGTGTAAACGTCGCCGTTCCCACTGGGTTTGGTCTGTACAGACCGCTGTCCGGCAAGATCGACGTGTAAACCGAATCCCCTCTTCGGGCCACTACTGCTTCTACGCTGGCGGAACGAACCGCTGCTGCGCCGGCTGCTGTCTCGCTCGCGAATCTCACCGCTCTGGTTGCTGAGCACCTCCAAACTGTCGTCCACCTCCGCTTCAATAGCAGCCAATTCCTCTTCCTCACTGCGAACGCTTTCCCCTGACAGCCGTGAATCGCTTGTCTGATTGACACTGGGCTTCGAATTGCTCGGCGCTGAGTCGGACTTGGGCTTACCCCCACAGCATCTTTTCCACCATGGCACACGAACCTACACAAGAGAGAACACAGCAAAAGATAAAACAATGCCTTAGTTATATCTATAAATACGGGAAAAGTATGTGTTCTGGTCTGCTAAGGCCAGCTGCCTTTGCCGCTGGAGCTGCAGCTCTCGGTTGCCACGATATCGAGATGACTGACAGGGTATATACGTACAGTGTTTTGTCGCTCCTGGGCGTTTTTCCGCTTGCGTTGGCGGACAATGTAGTCGTAAGTCGTAATTTTTTCCATACCTGCGCAAAGCAAACGGTAAAGAAACGTTAGAAGCCACGTATGGAAGCGTTATTTGGATGGTCGTGCACGTACATAAGTGGAAGTGGAAGAGTGCGAGTTGCCCGATCATGAACAGCCATGGACTGAGGAAGGCCAGCAACACGATGTGGATGATCCGTAGAGTCTGCAGCGAAATGCGATACTGCTCGTCTACGCAGAGGCCCGTGAGATCGTCCTTCTCCGTAGAGCATCCATAGCTCGTCGCTGAATTTCCCTTGATGTCGTCTTCGTTCGTGTACAGCTCCACAACGAGATAAATGCCCACAGCAATCTGCACCGCAAGGAACACCGACGCACCCACGACGGAGCCCAGAAAGAAACGATAGTTCTTCTTTCCCACACAGTTGTTGAGCCATTTGCAGTGGTGGTCGAACACGTCCACGCACTTGTCGCACAGGCGGCAGTGTCGACTTTGGTCGTTCCTGTAGGAGGATAGTACATTAGGTGCATTGCAGAGGCGTCGAGGCCAACAGCAGCACGTACACATATTTTGTGCAGACGTTGCAGTAGACACGGTTATCTGGGCGTGAGTCTCTGGCGTCAGGCATGGTCTGCAGAAATAAAACGTCATGACTATGAGTCTGAAGTCACCACTAAAGCCTGCTCCGGCGTCTTACCGACGGTCTCATGATGCAGTCGTCGGACGGGTCAGTTCCCGTACAAACAGCCACAGACACCACCGTGATGAGGCAGGCGACAGCATACACAACGCTGAGGACGATAGCCGCCGTCTTATCCAGGATGGGTGTGTAGAAGGCGAAGTAGAGCGCCATGACGGCCGGGAAGACCACCCACGTGGCTAGCTGCAGCACGTGAAACGGCGTCTCCCACCCGTTCTTGCGCATTTTCCTCAATGCCTGGAGGTGTCGGAAGGTAAGGCGAGGAGGATGCGATACAGGTTGTCGCCGAACGCAGTCGGTCGTTGAGCTGCGCTGTCTATCAAGCACAGAGCTCTAAAAGCGAGACCCAATATGCGAAAAATCCGAATTGCTACGTGTTTTGTCATTCGCATCTGGCGCTACCGGTACAGTACTGTACCACGGTTTTGTCGTGGGTACTGACTGGTATGCGATTTCCGTTTCCTGGAAATCATACTCTATTCGGCAGCTCAATACAATTCACTACTTGGCCAAAGTAGCTAGCAGTACTTACATACGTACATGCACCATCAAGCTTAGTTTGGCACGGACGAGATGTGATTGAAATCACGATTTCATCGTGATGCAGCGTTGGACTACAGCAATACTTGATTGATAAGATACTCGAGATGGAAAAAGCAGAAGATCGAAAGGTCGTAAACTGACTCCTAAACGGCAACAATGAGACCGTCACCACTGTTCAGTAAATGCCACTGCATATTGCAGTGGATTGGTGGTTGGTTTCATTCAGCTTATGCTGGCCGTTGGCAAAACTTTCGTAGGGTAGCTTTGCCAACCAGCGTCCCTTCAAGATCCATCGACCCTCTGCTGTTCGATTCCGCCTTTTAGCCTCGCAACAAATATCCAGCCGTGTCTACAAGAGAGGGTGCGTGCTGTCCTCTATAGTTATTGAATCGCGTAAAGGAAGCAACCCGCCAACGCTCGCCGTGTTGTGGTGCAGAAGAAACCATGAGTCAACCCGAAATGACGGATTTCGAAAGGTTGGAGGACGAGGAGGAGGAAATTTTTGACAATGACGTGGGCGAAGAGAATACGGAGGTGAGTTAGTAACTTCTGTGGTGATTAAGATTGGCTTGGAATCCGCTACTTTCCTGCTCAAATGTCTGCTCTCAGGACTCCAAGTTCGACGAGATGATCGGTGTGCTCCAGGATATTCTAATCGACCCTGATTTTGTCGGCATGCAGAGCGAGTTCTGCCGCAACAATTGCGGTAGGACATTGGTTGGAGCATTTTTAAGAATGAAGTTCCGCTTGGAGAATCACTCACTCTGTATTAATGTGGAGCGTAGAGATCTTCGACAACGTGTCGGAGAACAAACTAATTTACATGGACATCTTCCAGCAGTACACTGACCTCATGGGTACGCGCTGTGGAAAACGATTCATTTGGGGCTGCTGTCTGACGTTGCCTTTCGGTACAACGGCACGTTTCTACATGTAGAGACGTTCATTGAGCGGCGACTGCACGAGAAGCTCGAGGTAAGTCTGCTCATACATAATGTATCATAATGATACATGACTGTGAACTAATGTTGGAGGCGGAACCGTGTGGTTTTCATTTTTTATTAGTCCTTCTCCATGGCGGATCTCTGTAATCAGATCCAAGAGCATGAAGGTAAAGAAGCAATGGTATGTTTATGGTCGTTTTGGCTTGTTGCTGATATCCTTAGACGAGATCCCACCGGATGTTATCGATGTCCTACTAAGCAGCTCGGATTTTGAAGAGTTCAAGAGTCTCATGCTCTCGTTCAAGCAAAATGAGATCCCGTGTATTGAAATCACCGGAGATGCTCTTATTTGCTGCAGTCCCTAGGAGAAGGATGTCTTCAAGGGCTATTGCAGTGGGAATATGGTGAAGAATTGCGGCTTTGAAAGAGCTTATTTAATAGCTACTTTCAAGTTGCAATTCCCCCTGCACTAAGAACCAGACTATCAGATACTTCGAAGTAATATCTTTTCAACAGCTTGACCTTAACCTTTAGAAACCCACTGAAGTGTTTGAGAAATATGAGTCCTATTCTCGACGCATAGCCGACGAGGGAAGAAGAAAGAATATTTTACGTGCCCCAAACCACTTTAGGACAGCGACAAGCCTACATGATAGTGCACCTGCCGCATGTGCATTTTGACATCGCCTTCGCTTCTACTGTAGATCATTTCATTTGCTGTAATCTTCAGAAAGCCATGCGTGTAATGAACTCTATTTCATTTTTTTCCAGTCGCACTCTAGGTCTACTTTTTATGCTTTCTCTTCTTGTTCTTGTTTTTACGCTGGGTTTCACCTGTTGACTTGCGCTTAGTGGACGATTCGCCTTCATCTTCAGCCTTACTTTCGCCAGCATCCAGCTCGACAACCACGTGTGGAATACCAGCAGCAGGAGCAGATAATTTCTTTTCAGTAACCTTCTTGCTTTTCATGGTCTTCTTTATCTTCGTGGTAGTATCCTCGCTTACGGTAGCTTCCTTAGCGGCCTTTTCATTTGCAGCGCACACGGACAGGCAGGTCACACGAGGCTTGGTAAGGAGTACAGTCGAGGCGATCGGTTCCACCAACTTGTTTGCCTCCTCAGGGGACGACTCGTCCAATGTGAACGAGGCGAAATCCCAGATCTGAAACGCGCCATCAGAAGTAGCCAACACAATCCACGGCAGCTTGTCCTCGCCATGCGGATACACCACTTGCAGGCATCGGATGCGCGCGTCAATATCTTTGTGCGTCACCTTTCCAACCAGTCTGTTAGAAACACATATGTTAGTCAAGAGATAAATGAGCTTTAGAACGGCTTCAGGCGACGCAACACGTACGTTCCGTTGGTCTTCCAGATAAAAATTTGCTTGTCGTCACCACCACAGACAACATATTCATCGGTGGCGAATGCAGCACAGTGAATCTTCTTCGAGTGCTCTAACGTGCCCACCAGCTAATCGACAGCAAAAGAAACAGTGACAATGCTTAGATATCGTTCCCCGTCAGTAGCATTTTTTTAATGTCCGCTGGCGACGCACCTCTGCGTTCATGTTGAACACCGACAAGTCCTTGCCAAAGCCGAGTGCGTAGTGTGTACCCTTCTGCGAGATCATGACGAGCTCTGCCTCCTTTTCCAGTCGACGGATGAAAGCGATGCGGCCCTTTACGAGGTTCCACATGCGTAGTGTACGGTCGCGTGCAACCGAAAAGCATAACTTGCCACTAGGATGCACCGCGATCGAGTTGATTTCGCCCCTATAATCATTGACGAGCTTAGCACATGCTTCACCCACTTGCGTCTACAGCCAAACACTTACTTGTGGCCTCCAAGGATGTGTAGACAGTTCCAGTCTGATGTACGCCAGATGCAAATGAAATTGTCGGCGCTGCCACTGAGTACGTGGCTTTGGCCGAAAAACTCGAGGCTCGAGATGGCCCCGTGCTGCTCCATGAGACTTCCGACTTCCACGCCCTTGTCGACATTGTAGATCCTGCATGAAATAACAGCAGTAACATATTAGTACGCTTTCTTCTTCTTCTTATCCCATGCTACTGCCCAGCCAAATCAATTAAACGCACTTGATCATCTCGTCGCTGCTGCCAGACAACAGTGTTTTTCCTTGTTTGGCAGCCATGAGCGCCACGCTCTTGATGCATTCCGAGTGTGCTGCATATCCGAAGGTGAGCTTCATCTTAGTGCGTTCGCCCGTAGTCACTGTGGGGCATTCCCATCCGTACAGCAAGCCTTCATACGTCCCAGCCACCACGCGAATCATCGTGTAAATACTTGATTGAGTTCTGTTGGTGGTGGAATGATTGCTCATATAAGTACGATTCGGGATGGTTGTAAAGAGCTTCCGGTGACGAGTCGGTGGCAATAGTCATCTGCAATGTGTGACGTGTGAGAACTTGTATTTTCACCGGTGGGATTGTGGCGAGCAATGGGATCGAGCAACGGGGTCATTGTCGTGGGAGATAGTTCGGTTGGAAAGCGCCTTCCGTTGGTTTCGGACACCAGATAATCAGTGGCTGGAATGATAGGTGTTGGCTGGTAGGTCATACTTTCTTTAGAGACAGCTACAGAAGGTATCGGGCCGAGAGCCTCAGGACACAAACACCTTCGATTCAAGAAAACAGATTTACCTGTAACATGGACATGAATGTACTGGTGCCAAACTACGATGAAAGCAGTGATCTGCGCCAGTCACCCATGGGCGGCAAGCACCAACGCAGTCTATCTTTGTCGGCGAAGTGGGCGAGCGATAAATCGATGGCAATCGAGTATCTCCGCCGTCAGCGCGTAAGAAGTTGACGTTCATTAGTTTATTACTGAGCACAAATGAGAAAAAATGTAATGATTTCAGGAGGTGATGACATGGATCGAGAGTGTGCTCCAGCGCGAGCTGCCGAGCACAGATCTGTTTGAGGCTCTCAAGTCTGGAGTGGTGCTTCGCGAAATGGTATGTTGATCATACTGGAAAAATACATACGATTCAAGCTAACGCTTCCATCGTGTATGCTGAATAGATGGAGACGCTTTTCCCTTCTGCTTCCAGCTGTATGTCGCCCATAAGTCGTCAGTACTCAATGCGAATGGCTCCTTGGAAGGAGCGAGAGAACACTTCCGTCTTCCTGCGGCAGTGCAAGTCGTACGTTGCGAAGCTGAGGGTAACAGCATTATCACATTAGGCGCTAACGATTAGTCTCTGCAGAATCGGAATGAACGATCTGTCGCTGTTTTGCACTGACGATCTGTATGAGGGCACGAATATGGTGCAGGTGCTGTTCTGCTTGCAACATTTCATGATGTTTTCGGAAGAGCACGCGGGTCATCTCTTCAAGCCCGTCGCAAGAGTCGAGCCCGCCACGTTTTCCAACCAAGAGGTGTGCTGCTGGTTCAAAATCTATCTATGCGGATGCAGAGAACTTGACAATGTTTTTTTGTAATGCAGGTGGAGATGGCGATGTCCAAGATTGAACAAGCAGGGATGGACGCCAAGGCCTTGATCTCATCAAGGAGCTCTCCCATGACACCGGAAAAGGCCGCAATCCAAGGGAAAGAGACCACAGTGAGAGTTTCGGAGCCTGCTTCGGTGTCATCGATAGTGGAGAAGTCCGAACGTGCAACGGGAGCGGGGCCTGCAGAAAGCGAGGAATGCACAGAAGGCAAGGCGAGTGCTCAATTGCCGCCAGAGGTATGCAATCAGAAGTCGGAAGACAAGCACGATATCGACAATCCGGCTGACGACGACGATGTGAATCAGGAGTCTGGAAGCGATGCTGGCGACGAAGGGGAAGAGACCGAGTCCGAGGACAGCCCCGTTATTGAGCAGGACACAAGTATCACCGAAACTGCCACTGTCGGCCATCCGTCGGCGCGAGAAATACAGACTCTAGCGGCCATAAAGACAGTGGCAATCATTCAGGCTATGGCAATAATCTACCAAGTGCTGTCAGACTTGACTGAAACGATTGAAAAGACCGAAGCGGGGACGCGTTTGACCGCCATGCAAATCCAAGATACACCGCCATTCGAGGCTGAACCAGAGGTAATTAATGAAATTGAGGAGGAGGAGGAAGTGGAAAAGGAAATTCCTGAGTCGACACCAGGCATAGCACAAGAAGCCAAGGGGGAAACTGTGGATCAAGCCAATATTGAACTCGGAATGAATGATGAGCAAGCCGATGCCTCTGCTGCCAACTCGACGGATGCCCCAGTCGATTCAACTCCAGCTGGAGAGGTTGCAAGCACCCAACCCGCACCAGAAACAACTGAAAACGCGACGGACAGCAAGGAAGAGGAGGTGAGTCGGTGCTGTTGCTCTCTGTTCTTCCCCATGAATATTTTTCCAAATAACACATACCAACTATTTGTGTAGAACCTGCAACAGGCAGTGGACGAAGAACTAGAAGCGAAGGCGATGTCAAAATGCACATGCGGCAGGTGCACTATCATGTAGGCTTGTCGCTGTCCTTAAGTGGTTTGGGGCGCGTAAAATATTCTTTCTTCTTCCCTCGTCGGCTATGCGTCGAGAATAGGACTCATATTTCTCAAACACTTCAGTGGGTCTCTAAAGGCTAAGGTCAAGCTGTTGAAAAGATATTACCGGTACTTCGAAGTATCTGATAGTCTGGTTCTTAATGCAGGGGGAATTGCAACTTGAAAGTAGCTAAGCTCTTTCAAAGCCGCAATTCTTCACCATATTCCCACTGCAATAGCCCTTTACGACATTCTTCTCCTAGGGACTGCAGCAAATAAGAGCATCTCCGGTGATTTCAATACACGGGATCTCATTTTGCTTGAACCAGAGCATGAGACTCTTGAACTCTTCAAAATCCGAGCTGCTTAGTAGGACATCGATAACATCCGGTGGGATCTCGTCTAAGGATATCAGCAACAAGCCAAAACGATGGGAGTCGGCATTTTAGCATAAACATACCATTGCTTCTTTACCTTCATGCTCTTGGATCTGGTTACAGAGATCCGCCATGGAGAAGGACTAATAAAAAATGAAAACCACACGGTTCCGCCTCCAACATCAGTTCACAGTCATGTATCATTATGACACGAACAATGTGCTTATGTAATTCGACTACTGTACTGCTAAGCGATAGCTGGTGGTGGGTGGGTGAAGTGTGAAGCAGCCATCGTAAATCTACTGTACTGTGGCTGGAGCAGAAACTCAAGAGAAATAGTCTCTGATTCCTACAGTAGTTTGAACGTCGATCTTGAACGTCAAATGTCGACCCCGTAATGAGGAGGTGGCTGGATCTGAAGACTTAGTGTCGGTCGTGAACCCCGTAATGAGGGGGTGGAGGCTTGCTATCGGTCATGAGCGTAGCACATTTCTGTCTCGGTCCCGTAATGAGGAGACTGAGTCAGAAGCGCGAGAGTTCACTAACCCAATAGGTTGCTCTGTCGATTCTATACCAGCTTGGGACGTCGCAGAGGCCTAGCAGTAACCGCATCGGCCTGGCAAGGCGATACTCGTTCCATCCAGATGCTCTGATCTTTTGCGTTTACTGGATATGATATGGACACCGTCCTGACCCACGTCTTGATGCTGACAGTCTTTGTTTGCTTCCACTCCTTCAGTGTCACTTGAGTCACTCAGGAAGTCGAACAACTCCGTATATGTCGGCAACCTCAAGTCATCCAGCCCCAAGCCATTACTCTTGAAGCCCTGGATGGCCTTAAGCCACGCTTCGCTTTCTGGGGTCTCTTCCAAGTCGTCCAAAAGCGTGTTTGTCAGCGGAGGTTCTACATCTTGCGCTTCGACATCCACTGAGATCTCCAGTGTCGTGTGTGCGTCACTAAAATGGCACGTATCAGTCCTGGCGCTTGTCTCCTTGCGCTTTTTACCTTCTTCAGGTGGTCGCACTGCCTGCGTTGACTGCACGGCGGACGCGTCAGATATCGAGCTGATCTCAGTTTCTGCGTCTTGAAGGACACAATGCACCGACTTCTTACTGAGCGCTTGCACTTCGTCCCTCAGTTTCTGCAGCTCTTCTTCCTTCGAGATCACCACGCTCTCGAGCCAAATTAACTTCTCCTGGTCGTTCTGGGGACTGGCTTTGGGGTACACCCGTTTCTCGTCGATAAACTCGCACTTGCAACGTGGACGACGTCTGGCTGCCTCGGCGATCCTGTCGAATTGTCGTTTCGCCATCGCGCGTATTTCTTCCACACTGCGCTGCGCCGCTGCCGCTTGGGCCATGCTAGCTTGATACGCTCGCTGCAGCTGAAAATTTGAAGCCTCCAGCTGTCTCCTCTCTTGAGACTGCCAGAAGATATCGCGCTGAAGCTGAGTCTTTTCAGATTGAAACTCCTGAACGTGCACGCCAAATTCCTCCGGTGCTGAAGAGCGGTCTCTCAGTCGAGCATTTTCTGCTTGCAGCTCACTTGTCTTCTTCTCTGCCTCGTGCTGAATGGCCACTATCAAGTGATGCGCTTGTTTCCATTCGGTAAGTTCCTTCGAGACTTCACTAATCTCAAGCGGCAGCAGCTCGTTGTCAGCTGTAAGTCGCTGGCTGTTGTCGACTGGAAACCCGCCGTTCTTCGCAAGGTGCGTCTTGCCCGTCATGGCAGCATTTGAGGGGACGCGAAGCTCATGCTGCAGGTGGATGTCGCCTGGAAGCTTATGCTCCACCAGAAAGCTCAAGTCATGGACTTTTAGGGGCGATGGCTGCATGCTCAGCGCTTCTGCTCTCGATTTGAGCGCTGGAGATCAAAAGATCAAATGAGCAAGCTTTGGCTCCTGGCCGAGCTTCATTAGCAACGTGATGGGGGCGACGACATACTTGAACCTAAGGCGCCCGCTCCATGGACGAGACGTTCCGTGCTTTAGGGCATTTCAAACGGAGGAGAGACTCGCTGTAAAGAGACTCTGGTGGTCAAGATACTTTTGGCGGAAAGAAAATGTGTGTTGAAGTGGTATTTTCGTCCAATGACATGGTGTAATTCAACGGGTGGCCATCCGCTGTTTGCCCGAATCTCTCACGCGTTGATTGGTTAGAATGCGTCCTCTACGCGTGGCGATTGGTCCGTCGCGGTCCCACTATCTGAAAACGTTAGTCTGGCATGAAGCGGTCTTGTCCCCATTCGCCTTCCGCCCGAGCAACGCAGTATCTTTAGCACCATGGCCTCTGAGAACTTGTCACACTCCATCGTGGGACTGGGCAACCCGCTGCTCGATATCTTGGCCGATGTGACGCCCGAGTTCCTGACCAAATACGGTCTTAAGCTGGACAACGCAATCCTGGCGGACGAGAGCCACGCCCCCATGTTTGAGGAGCTGCAGACGCTTAAGCCCGAGTTTGTGGCTGGTGGCGCCACGCAGAACTCCATCCGCGTGGCTCAGTGGATGCTCAACAAGCACAACAAGAGTGCTACGTCGTTCTTCGGCTCTGTGGGCAAGGACGCGCACGGCGCTAAACTCAAAGAGTGCGCTCAGGCCGATGGCGTCAACGTCTCGTATCTTGATAACGCCGACATTAAGACGGGCACGTGCGCCGTGTGCGTCCACCAATCGGAGCGCTCGCTTGTTGCTGACTTGTCGGCCGCCAACCACTTCCACCACGATCACTTGGCCAAGCCTGAGAACCAGGAGATCATCAACAAGGGTCAGTTCTTCTACTCGGCTGGTTTCCATCTCACGGTCTCCCCCACCGCCGTCATGACGCTGGCCAAGCACACCAAGGAGAACAACAAGACGTTCCTTGTCAACCTCTCGGCGCCTTTCATCGTCGAGTTCTTTAAGGACCCCCTTATGGCTGCCATCCCGTACGCCGACTTTGTTTTCGGTAACGAGAGCGAGGCCAAGACTCTCGGCAAGGTGCAGGGCTGGGGCGAGGACATCAAGGAGATTGCCCTCAAGACTTCGCAGCTGGAGAAGGCCAGTGGCTCGCGTTGCCGCACTGTTGTCTTCACCCAGGGCGCCGACCCCACGGTCGTTGTGCATCAGGGCAAGGTCTACACTTTCGACGTGCCCAAGATGGCTGCCTCATCGATCGTCGACACGAACGGTGCCGGTGACGCTTTCGTTGGTGGCTTCATTTCCCGCTTGGCTATGGGTCTTCCCCTTGAGCAGTGCGTGAACGCTGGCCACTGGGCTGCTCAGGTTGTGCTCACCCGCTCGGGCTGCACGTTCCCGGAGAAGTGCGAGTTCCAGGGCTAAAGCAAGACTTTTTGATAGCGTGCTACAGACCAGCACCTTATTGCTGGGTCTTTAGTGACGCTAGTAGAACGCGACAAGTAGACTAAGAGCCCCATTGTCGGCTGGACATTTTTGGCGGTGCGTCTGCCACTCGCGCAACTTTCGTAGGCGAAGTGTCGATCCCTCGCTACACGGCACTTTCCCTCGAAGGAAGAACCACCTCCACAAATAGAAAACCACATCGGCGCTCTACTGGGGTTGCCTCTTTCAGATTGTTCCCCATGCGTCTTGCACGTTTCACGTTCATCTTGTTCCGTGACTGAAAATAGGTCGTTGATCGGGCTCCTACAACACTCGCGCATTCCTCGCAGCTCTGTCAAGCCATGTGTGCGTCCAAGACGTACGGTTATCAAGGATTTAAGTCGTTCGCGGTGCAGCAATGTCCGACGCTCAAACCGGGCGAGACGTACGAGCAGCGTGCCACCAAGTTCTCGTCAATGGGCTCGCGTATAATTTCCTCACCAACCATGAATCGCATGGGAAGGAACGCACACGAGTCTGTGGCCATGCAGACTGGCCAGCTAGTGCAACCAGAGGACTACCGAGTGCCTGATCGTCGTGGTGTGAGTGTGAACCAGAAGCAGCCAAACTCAAAGCCGTTCATCGCGAACACGACGTACCTACACGACTTCCCGCCATTTGGTGACGATTGCCGACGAGCTCTTCAAGTGACGCTGGGAGACTACGAAACAGCTTTCGTGGCCGTAGCGAAGAAGAACAACCAGCACGACGGAACGATGATCCAGTTGCTTCAAGTATCGGAGGTTCTTAAACTCGCGCTTGGTGACGCTGCTGCTCCTCGTGTAATCGACCTATTCCACAGCTACCTGGATCGTGGTGGGAGCAGCCGCGACCGGATCTCGTGGGCTCTATTCTGTCAGGCTGTAGACCATGTGAATAGTCTGTTTGATCACGAGCTGCACCACGGCAAGACGTTACCCTCGAGTATCAAGACGTGGGGCACCATGACTTTCACCGAGAAGCAGTTCAACGAGTATCTTGTGCACTCTTCGACACCAGCTAGCAGCCACCAAAAAGACTTTGGCACCTATGGAGACAACCCCCTTGACCGACCTTACATGCGAAAGCGAGGAATGGCGTCAACCACAGCAGACTTGAACCCAGCAGCCACTCGTGTCACCAACCAGATTCCTGGCTACGGCGGCTTCTTACCGCTGGAATCCCACAGAACAGAGGCGCAGACGAACGATAAAGACCTGCGGCCAACTCCACGTATTGAGCTTCGACTTTACCACAGTGAAAACATCCCAGGCTACACCGGACACAAGCCAGTGGACTGCGCGAACTACCGAGGAGAGTGCCGTGCTGGAAGTGACCTTGACACAACAACAGGAGACAGTTACAAGCCACACAAGTAGGTTGAGTGTAGTATTGCTACGTTTAATCTGGCGTATCACGCCGTAGTAGGAGGCACATACCCCAACAACTCGCTAATAAACATCTTGCCATTAATTATACTGGTCGAAGCGACGACAAGCTCGATGGGATCTACAAACACAACATTGATCAGCTGTACGCAGCACCACTAACACCCAAGTGTAGGAAACTCACAAAAGGACGCGATCCACCTCAACGCAGCGATCTCAAGGAACGTCACGCCGCCAACAAAAGCCACTACCACGACAGTCTTCTTCTTCGACTTCACTTTGTTGTCCTCTTTATCCGATCGATCGTTTTCAGACAAATGAACTTCTGCTCGTGGTCCGTGTAGACGACTCATAACATGGTCGATGCCTCTCCAGTGGCCATGCTTGAGAATCTCCTCCACAAGACGAGCAGATATTGGCGCGTAGCCTGATGTGACGAAGGCTGCATTCTTTGGGTTCTTGATGTTGACATCCACGTCGATCACGGATAAACTCTGCGTCACGTAGTGAAATGAACAGCCGGTATCATCGGGTAAAAAAGAACGAGGTTGACGCTCGTACAGCACCCTAAGCCGGTCGAGAATACTGAAAGAGAAGATCAATTCATGACCGTAAGTTCTCACGACGTGCACCTTTAATCTCTCTAGATCATGTCGTGTCATGCCGTCGTTGACAACACAGTATAAACAAAGAAGACGAAGCACCTTTCGAAGGTCTTCGTGTCGATAAATGAGCTCTTCTATCGTGTCTAGTACGCCATCTGCTCGGTCCACGATCTTCCTCTCCAACTGCCAAAGATCTCGAAACGGTTTGCTTGACGTCGTAGTCTCCAGATACTCCAACAGATTAATATGCTGCTCAATGGATTGTTGCGATGCTTTCATCTGAGGCACTGTCTTTACAAACTCGTTGACTTCTGCTGCTGTCGCTGTGCCACTGACACGCTGGAATTCGGTGAATCTCTGTTTGACTCGTACTGCTTGAGCGTTCAGCGCCGCTGGAATGGTGTGGATGTGTTTGTCTCGAATCATCTGGAAGATTTCATCCGTCGAGTTCATCGCCACCGGCACAAGGTCGTTGCTAGCGCTGTCATCCGCTCTTAGAATCTGTGGTGAAGCCATGATAAATCCGTCTTGAATGCTCATAACTTCATCGAGCACTGCCTCAAACGTCAACGGCGTGGAAAACACAGAGGCAAAGTCCACACTTCGATCCAACAGAATCAACGTATCCAGTCGCGATCGCTGGGCTCCAGTGGGGGGTCCTGTAGTCGCATTGCCAGAACTGCTCATCATTCCCGAGCCTCCTGCATTCATCTCCATCAAATGATTGAGCACTAGCATCGACATCTCTCCTTTGTACTTGATGCTGTTGAATTTCCCATACACTTGCTGTAACAAATTCAGCGCTGCCGCCATGTCCACTAGCGAACTTCGGTTCCCTTCCACCCCACACTCATACAAAGTCCGTCGGAAGCCCAAAGTGAGCAAGTCTGTGTCTAACGGGAAGAAGCCCATCGACAGCTCTCCTGTCTGAAATCTGCCTCGAACGCGCCCATAGTCCAAGGCTTGATCCAGCATCGTCGTCCACTTGCCTACCACGTACAATGCCAGCCGCCGCTTTCGTCTTTCGTCGTCCCCGTGTTCCAGCAGCTTGTCGGCATGAGCTGCAACTGCACGTGCGTCACCGGTACGTGCAAAAGTCAGATACACCACCGTCGTGTCTGCCGTGACGTGATCGTCTGCGAGCTCTAAGCACTCGACAACGTGATGACTTTTCAACACGCCCAGACCGTCAATAAATACGTGCGTTAGCAGTGCTGCCAGACGCTTCGAGAGCACCAGCGACACTCGATCTGTGCCCAAATGATCCAGCAAATGCGTCAAAGCGCGCACGTATTCGTCTCGAAGCTTCTGGAGAGGCAACACACCTCGATCCAGAGATGGCAACTTCACCATAGTATGGTATAAACTCACCGGAAGAGACGCCAATAATATTAATAAGGATCCGATCTAAAATGATTATTTACATTAAAGTCGTTTTGGTATCGTTGAAAGAGAGATGATGTAGCCACCTTACTGGTCGTTGTGGCGCGTAATGTACGTGAGCAGGTCGATGCGGGTGACGACTCCAAAGATGACGGACTTGGTCTCGGCCTCGCCACCCTTGCGGATGCGCTTCTGCTCCGTGACGACGAGAGCGAAGTGGTCGCGGTCGAAGATGCGGCTCAGCTCGTACAGCGACGTCTGCGGGTTCACCTGCTTGAACTGCTTAAACATGGCCTTCTCTACAGCGTCCGTCGGGCGCACACGCCCAGGCATGAGCTGAGCGATGAGGTTTCCTTCAGTCACGACGCCCACGATCGAGTTGTCGTCCGCCACGACAGGTAAGTTGTCGAATCCCTCCTTCTTCAGGATATCCACAGCTTCCTTGCACGAGAGATCAGGGGTGATGGTCACTGGAGCCTGAAGCAGCAGCTCCGACACGTTCTTCTTGGCCCACCATGTGGAGCTCAATGCGCTCTTGGACATGTCCGTTACGTAGCCATGTTCGTACATCCAGTCGTCGGACAAGAACTTGGACATGTAGTTACGAGTCGAGTCTGGCAGTACCACGACGCAACGTTGACCGGCCTTGAGCTCCTTGGCCGCCTTGAGTGCCGCAGCCACAGCGGAGCCACACGAGCCACCACACAGCAGTCCTTCTTCACGGATAAGACGACGCGCCAGTAGGAACGACTCCTGGTCGTCCGTCTTGATCCAGCGGTCCACTAAAGAACGGTCCAATACCTGTGGGATGAAGTCGTAGCCGATTCCTTCGACCTGGTAAGGTTTGAGGCGGTTCTCGTCGTTCAGGTTCTCAGGTTCGGCCAGGATGGAGCCGATGGGGTCAGCGCCCACTACGATGCAGCTAGGGCATTTCTCCTTGATCTTACGAGCCGTACCAGACAACGTACCGCCCGTGCCAGCGCCCATGACGACCATGTCGACGTGTCCGCCACAGGCCTCCAAAATCTCCTCGGCGGTGCCGTCGTAGTGAGCTAGAGGGTTGGACGGGTTGCTGTACTGGTCAAGGATGTGTGCGTTGGGGATCTCCTTTACGAGACGCTTGGCCACGCCTATGTGCGACTCGGGCGAGTCCCAAGCTGCCTCAGTGGGCGTACGGATGATCTCAGCGCCCAGAGCCTTAAGCACGTCCACCTTTTCCAGCGACATCTTCTCGGGCAGCGTGATGATGATGCGGAAGCCGTAGAGTGCAGCTGCGAGCGCCAGACCGATGCCGGTGTTGCCAGACGTGGGCTCGATCAGCGTGTCGCCAGGCTTGATACGACCCGAGGCCATGGCGTCCTCGATCATGCGCTTGCCGATACGGTCCTTGACGGATCCGCCGGCATTAAAGAACTCGCACTTCGCCAGCAGCTCACACTCGAGTCCCGCCTTCTTGGCGATCGTGTTCAGACGCACCAGCGGAGTGTTGCCCACGTGGTCGAGAATCGAGTTGAGAATCTTGGGCTCGGACTGGCGAGGGCGATGCACATGCGGCTGCTTCACGAAGCACGAGTCGGGCGTAGGGCATTCGGTGGACTGGGTAACCTGCGGGCCGGTGCGAGAAGCCATGACTGGAAAGGATGAGCTCTAGACACTTGCACTTGACGCGGGAAGTTGAGAAATGGCATCATGGAATTACTAAAAGTTGAACTGCACTTGAGGTTTGTAGGAGCCCGCTTTCTGAATTCTAGGGAAACGTGACGAAAATACAGAGCAGAGTTTGCAGGATTGTTCTAGTAATAGCTAATATCCTTGCATTGATTATGGCTTCAGAAAGAAAACGAGCAATTCTAAGTCCTGCTGGAAAAGATAACCTGTATATTTGTATAGAATTTCATTTCTTAAAATGATAGATCAGTCGGTAAGAGTAAATGTGGCAATCCGCTGGCTAGGACGCCAGCAGCTCGATGCTGCATTGCATTTCCCGCGTGAAATTGAAAAGTGGACATTGCGTACATTATACTACTCGCTGAAGAAAGGACCAGCAGCTTGCCCAAGGCAACACGACTGGATGTTGCATACGGTACGTTTCGTGTGACGCGCCAATCCTATTCGTCTACAGGTCTGAGTCAGCGTTGACCGTTGGCAACGTCAGCGACTCCGTGGTCTCATGTAGGATTGGTGACCCATGAGTATGGAGTCCATACTCCGCCGAGGTAGACGAGTGCAACACATTGCTCGAGTATGGCGGCGGCGGCCGCAGACAGCGCTTGAAGTCGTTCAGCACGCGCAGGAACTCATCCCGCTTTTCTTCGTCTAATCGAGGCTGGGAGAGCTGCGCCACCGGAATGGGGTATTGCGAAGAAGGTGCTGCCTCGGTCTGTTGGTTACATGTATCATCATGTTGGTCTCGATACTGCCTGTGCGTTTGAAGTACCGTCTTGGTGACGGAACTCTTGCTGCTGTTCAGCGAAAACACGAGATCCGTAGAACAGTGTTGAGGCAAGACGTCCGCCGCTTTTTCCGCTTCGCACGGTTTGATAAAATTAAAACTCCCGCTGGAAGGCGATGGTGTGTACGAAGCGCAGTCATCGCTGCGAGTACGACAGCTTCCCACTCGCACGTGCAGTTTTTCCCACGAATTCTTGCAGCGACTTGACTCTCGAGGCTCTTGGCCGGATCTCTCATTGTCCTCCAGGGATTCACGTTCAGTGGCACTACTGCCATAAGCGTATCCATCGCCATTCCTTTCAGTAGGGTATATTTCAGCGACCAGCGCTGAACCTCTCATCGCTTCTGGCTGTTCAGGAAGAATCTCGCTGAGCTTGCCAGATCTGCTTACATGGATCGAAGGCACCGCCGACGTCAATGGTATTAAGTCGTTGAGGTGCTCGACCTCATTGATCGTAGCTTGGCATTGTTGTTTGTCATAGAGCAGACTCCTAGCTAGAGCGAGCTCACCCACGCTAATCAGATCATTTCTTGAATGCTTGGTATCCATGTTGTTCGACGTCAGCGCAGCGCCTGGGAAAACCATGAAGCGATCATACACGCCTGCTTCCTCTTTGCTTATTAAACGTGAGGGCACAGCATGACCATGTTGGTCGCAAGCTCTCGACGCTTGCTGATCTTGGCCCAACAACTTTTGCGCTTTTGACGGCCCTCTTGTTGCACGAAGCACCAATTTTTTAGTGGTATTAGTTCGCTTGAGGCGAAAAACACGAGGCAGTTTGCACTGTCGCTGAAGAATACTCTTTTGAATAGTCTTTGGGTGGCCTTGGGATGTCACTGTACTAGCCGCCCGCACCGACAACGTTTCCGCTTTAAGTTTCTCGGCTCCAATGTCAGGACCAGCACTGGGTACTAGCAGAGCTGGACATTTTTGTCGGTGCTCTCGCTTTCTCCGGGTTTTCTCAACCATGGAGAGTCGCTGAGCTTCTAGTCGTTGGATAATCTGGTGGGGGCGCTTCCACACGAGCTCGCCTTGATCCACTGAGTTTCCTCTACGTACAGACTCTTGGAGCTCTTCAATACATCGCCCTTCTTCAAGAAAAATCAATTCAAGATCCGTCCATGGATGGTTACAAGGGCGACTTGAAATAAGAGACTTCGCGCTCGAATCTTTGGCATCGACTTCACTGCCATTCACTACTAAATCATTACCCACATCATGCTCGCTATCGACATGCAGGTTTGATGCGACGCGCACCTTCTGGTTAGTCGCTCGCTCGCATCTCGCGTTCTCAGCATGAAACAATGGGGTGACATTGACATCACAGCTTTTGTCAATAATAAGCACTACTGCACGACCATCTTTGGGCTTTCGACGGCTCCGCCACATACGCTGAATTGACAGAATGGCGTTGGTAGCCACGATGACGTCGTTGATTCTTGCTGCAGTCTCTTTTGCTTCTCGTAACGGCTTCCCGCTGGTGTCTTTGGCTTCCAGAGTTGGCGATGGAGAAGATGACAGCTGCGGTATCATGGGCTTTACTGGCTTCGCGTGTGGGGCTGGTGGAGAGTTGTTTAGGAATGCAACCGTAGACTGAGCTGCATCTGGACGTGCTTGCGGTGGGTTGGAGCGACTAACTTCCAAGAAGCTGGGATGGATTGATCTTTGCAAACCGCGACCCAGAGCATCTGGTTCTGAAAAGTCTTTGGAACGGATTTTACTTGCTGCCTTAGTCTGTCGTAAGCTTTTCGCCTCGTTGATTTTATCCATAAGAGACCGAGTTAAACTCTGCGATGGTCCTGCTGCTGGAGGATGCCTTTCGTTCTGTTTCATTTCTGCAAGCAATGTATGAATGTGCCGCTGTTTTGATGTCGATGCTTGTTTTATCTGAATCAAAATCGAAATCACTCGACGTAAGCCAAAGATTCAGATATTTGTGAAGAGAGCACATCGTACATGCTTCTGGAAGCTCGACAATGGGCTCTCGGCTCGTGAAACAGCGATTCCATGTACGGCAGCAGCATTTTCGATGTTGTTATCAGGTGGTGCATCAAGTTTTAGCACCTCTACGCCCTCTTGACGTTCACCCAGTCGATCATTACATCTTTCGTTCGGTATTGTGTCGGGTCTCGACGGTTGCTCCCCAGTCGGCCCAAATGCAGGACGAAGACGAGGTATCCTGCTCTTTGCGTCGATGTCGTTGGCCAGATACGCTTGAAGCGCGGTAGCTGCTATCAATGGTGTCGAAGTGGCACTATTTTCACTTCTTTTGGTTTCAATTGTTGGCCTTCTCACTTTCAAGCTACGACTCGCCAGCGAAGACGACATCACCGCAGAACCATTACATGCTCGAGCACCCTGGCGCAATCCGTTCTCCCACAGTCGCTCTTGAGGAGTGCTTCGCTTCATTTGTTGGTAGGATTTTTAAGACCAAGGCGAAGAGACGCGAGAAACTGCTCCATTTCGTCTCTTTTCAAATCCCGCCCGTTAATTTTCGGAGACGAGTCATGACCCCATGCACTCCAGCTTTACTCTTCATCGCTGCGCTGTTCAGCTCAGTTGGATGTCAATTCGTCAGCGTAGCAGATGAGTCGTGTCCCAATGGCTGCTCCGGGAATGGAATTTGCGATAAGCAACTAACCTGCCATTGCTACGACGGCTTTTTCGGATACGACTGCTCGCTCGAGTATTGCCCCGTAGGCAAGAGCTGGGGAGTCATCAGAGGAACTGACGATGCTCACAGACCAGAGGAGTGCTCCGGACGTGGAATTTGCCTGTACTCTAGCGGTTCATGCAGCTGCCAGTCTGGATTCACTGGACCTGCCTGCCAATTCACTCAATGTCTCGATTCTTGTTCCAATCACGGCAAATGCATCTCCATGAAAACATTGTCGGAGAATGAAGTGGTTGCTCGAGAACTGTACGATCGAGAGGCGTATGTGTACAATCAGATTTGGGACTTTGATGTGATTCACGGCTGTCAATGCGACGTTGGATTCCATGGCCCCAGTTGCTCTCTAAAGAATTGTCCTGTTGGCGATGACCCGCTCACGACGGGACAAGCGAATGAGATGCAGCTAATCCAATGTCTGACAACATACCAGAAGCAAACAGTCGTATTGCAAATGGACGCTCCGCTCACGAAAGGCAAATTCATTTTGAGATTCGGCAAGCAGTACACTCGTCCAATTTCATTTAAGGCACGGGCTGATCAGGATTCGTTTGGGCCATCAATCGCTACATCTCTGTTGGCGTTACGAGGCGTGGACGCAGTTACCGTCACCCGAGCAGACCCACTACTAACTCGGACGGAGTGGACTGTAACCTTCCCGACAACCAACATGAAGCAGCACAATGCCCTTGTGCCAGGCTGGAGAACGGTTGAGGTCCAGCAATTTATATGTGCGGCTGACTCTGGTGTGTTCGCGGTCACCTTTGGCAACGAGACCATTCGCAATATTCCTAGCAACGCAGACAGCAACACATTTGTGGCATTTCTTTCCAAACTCTCATTCTATGGTCAGATTAGTGTTTCTCTCATGACTCATACTGGAGCAGCTACGAATAATGTTTGCACAACTGGAGGCACATTCGTGACAATGACCTTCTCTACACTGTGGCATCGGATGTTGCTAGCAGATCTTCCACCCATGACTTTCTCCACCTTGGACTTGAAAGGTGTTCAAACTCTGTTTCTTGGCAACGCCAATGGATTCGTTGACGCAGAAACTAAGGAGGTTGTCAAGGGCCATGACTCCTGTCGTGTGACAGAAGAGCAGCAATTCCTCTGTGGAGCTACCGGTGGCAACTTTGCTCTTACCTTTGAGGACGGCACGAAGATCACGGGACTACCTTATAGTATCACCGCTGATACACTTAAAGCCACGATTCAGACCAAAGTGTCCTACATTGTGGATATCGACGTCACGTTTGCAGACGGACAATCCACATTCTGCAGTGATTTTGGTACGACCATTATCATCCGCTTTGTCGTGGTGAAGGCGACCAGCGGAGACGGAGATCTCGCCGAGATACAAGCCGACCAGACGAATAATGGAGGCTCGGACGGGCTTGTACACATTGCAAATCGTCTGCAGTTCCCATCGAGTTTCACCGAGACCGAAAAAGGATCTTCATGTGAGCCACTTGATCAGACATTTAGTCCGGACCCAGCACGTCAAATGCAGACACCCGTAGAGTTAGGTGGTGGTTCGCTCACGATAACCTTCCGGGGAGCGACAACTCGCCCAATCCCGGCTCAATCTACAATGCAGCAACTGAAGGTACTTTTGCTGGAGCTTCCTACAATTCAGGGTATTGATGTGAGCTTTTCCGGCTACCAAATGTGCGAGGCACCGGCAAACCTCGCGAGACTCACGTTTACCCAGAACTTTGGAAAGTGAGTTGTTTGTGTGATGGATAAAAGTTTGCCGTTTTAAACTTGTGTACTTGTTTTTCTGTGCTTTTCGTTAGTCTCCCAACTATTGTAATCCAAGACAGCGAGATGAGTGCCGGATCTAGCGTTGTTGTTGCTGGCGGCGGGAACGATATATCGAGTATCGTGTCTGTGGATGGAACAAAAGAAAGCGAAGTCTGCTCAAATCGTGGATACTGCGATGAGATCGCTCTCGGCCGCTGTATCTGCCATACAGGCTACACCAACAGCGACGGAAACGGCAGCATCAGTACTTTAAAGTTCAACCGCGGTGATTGTGGCGCAACGTCACGAATTCCGGTCGGATGCCCTGGAGATCTCGCGTGTAGTGGACATGGCACATGCTCGGGTAGTCCGTCTTATCGCTGCTCATGTGCAAAAGGTTGGCGTGGCGGAGATTGCTCTGAGAGGGCCTGTCCAGTTGGGTATTCGTGGTTCGACTACCCGAGCGAAGACAACGTTGCACACCAGTTGCGCACCGAGTGCAGTGCCGTTGGAGATTGTGATCGCAGCAGTGGCAAGTGCAAGTGTCAGTCCCCGTACACCGGCGGTGCCTGCGATCTGAGTGCGTTCATCTCTCTTGCTTTTATTTGGGTCCATTTTGATGCTGATAAGGGTTGTGTTGGTTTTTATTGCAGTGGCTTGTGGAGGCAGTGACGTTGAGTGCAATGGTAATGGCCAGTGCTTGACTCTGTACGGATGGCACCAATTAATCGGGTGAACGGGGTGACCCGAGGCTTTACATATGGAGAAGACCCGAACGACGTGGCCACATGGGACGCTCACCGCATTCGTTCTTGCCTCTGCGATCCCTTCTATTTCGGCTACGATTGTTCCCAAAGTAAGTGCTATGGACTTAAATGCCTGTAGATACGTTCTACTAATTTTCTTGTATACACGTTCAGAGGAGTGCCCACGCGGTGACGGCTTCAACACCGACAACGATGATATCGAGCGTCAACTGATCCAGTGCATCGCTGACGCGGGCAGCTTCACTCTCACGTTCCGAGACGAAACCACAAAGGACATTCCCTACAACTCAGTAGAAGCAGATATAAAATCTGCATTGGAAGAGCTATCCACGATAGGTGAAGTGGAAGTCGTTTTCTCAGGTGGAACTGTGGCCTGTTCCAACAGCATAAACATCGTCATCATGGTGGACTTTTTGACCGATCTCGGAGACCTACCGTCCCTATCAGGATCGAATGCATTGCTGCAGGACCGAATCAACGGCACCGCGAGAGATGGATCTGGAAGTCTTGTGGTTGTCATGGGTGGAGATACACTCCTGGGCGAAACGTCTGTCAAAGGAACACGGGAGAACGCCTTGTGTTCGAACCACGGCATCTGCGACTTCACCACGGGCATTTGCATATGCCATGCGAACTACGGTGGCAGCGACGGCAAGGGGGGACCAGGAACCATCGCTAACTGCGGCTTCCACGAGCTCAAATACGCACGGTAAATACATGCAAGCAGCAAACAGAAAAATAATTTAACTCACAAAAAAAGTGTATCCATCGCTAAGCTGTACCCATCTTTTAATCTGCACCTCTTGATGTACAGAAAATGTGTGGAGGAGCATCCCTCTTTGCGACTGTCACATTGATATTTCGAAATGAACTTGCACGGCATCGCCCACCGTAGCGAGATGCGGCCACTGCGCCCTCCGCGTGTCCCTAATTCACCGGCGCCTGTTTACACAGAGCTACAGAGTCTGGGTGTAGGCGAGGTACCACAGAGCGTCGATGCTTTTCGCCTTCGTCGCGCGGTGGGCGTGTTGTTACTCATCTTCTGTTTGGGTACAGCGATCGGCCTCGTGCATGTCATCGGCCTCTCGCAGCAGGTTTTGGCCAGACTGGAAGCGCAGCAAGAGCAACAGCCGAGACTGATGCACCAGCCACACACTCAGTCTCGTGGTGTGGTCGGCGGCGCGTGGCAGCGCGTGCGAAGCCATGAAGCTGCAAACGTATTAATTGCGTACTCTGACGGGCCGCATCTCTCGAAACTCGCGGCGGCGGTGGAGATTGGCGCCCGCAACGTCTTGGGTAATGAGTCAAAGTCACTGCGCTTACGAACACTGGACAACGCATCGTTTCCGAATGACGTGATGTGGGCGGACGCTGTGATTCTTGGAACGCACGTGGTGAACGCTAACGTGGAGCCAAAGGTTTGTTACTTAAGTTCAGTAGGAGATAATTGCTTTGCTAATGAGTGCATTTGGTATGATCTCCTTACTACTGAAGATGACTAAGTTCATGAGCGAATGGTCTGTTACCGAGGACATGAGCCAGAAGGTTGGTGCTGTCTTCGTCACGAGTGGTGGAATTTCAGCTGGAGAAGAGCTGACGATGGTAAACTTGCTGCATTCTCTCATGATCTTTCGCATGATTGTTGTTGGGGGAGAACGCTGGACGAGCGCGTTTGGTGCGTCTGCTGTCGTGGGCGAAGGACCATTTGAGCCAGCAGGTCACAGCAGTCCGGAGCAGCGTGACTTTCCACCGATCTGCTACCCGACCGACGCTGATTCCATTCACGACATGTTCAAGGACAAAGCAATTGGACTGGGTGAACGAGCTGCCTCGATCGCGATACAGTTGCAGCGCGCACGGATGGATTTATCAATGCAGGACTAACGACTCAATTATTTTTACTACGTAGTAAAGTGCCAGCGTGGTAGCGCGACTTCTCTTTAAAATGGGAATAGAGCTCATCTTACAACAAGTCAATCATTTTCATTGTACTGTAGTTATTAACATTCATCCAGAAATTTGTTCGCTCGTTCAAAAGTCCAAAAAGTGATGGCAGCACTGGGAATCCCACGCGAGAAGGCGGCTTGCCATCCGCGGAAGAGCTGCATCACGCCTTCTTCGCGTACCAGTCTTGCCGTACTCGACACCAGTCCTGTGTATTTACCTGTTCTCCCGTCTGCTTGGATCAGCGACTTGATCGTGTCGAACGGTAACGCAACCGCCCAGAAGCTGATCCCGCCAACAGCTCCAGCCGTCAGCAGTGTAGCTGTCTCTCCCAGCTTTCCACTCTCACTAAGGCGCTTCTTAGCAAAATCGTAACCAAGGAAGTAGAAGGCTACACCCAGTGAGTCTCGGATGACAGTGGTGGTCAATCCTTTCCACATGGCTGTGATGCCCTCACTGCGCACCACTTGTGTGACGCAATGGTAAGCTCCTCGGTATTTTCGCGTGTCGGGTTGGTTGTCGTATTGAACCTGTAGCCGATTGCGTACGAGCTCCACGGGCGCCACGAGGAACGCGTTGACACCACCAGCGACTGCCCCAGCAGTCAATGACACAGCCGTCGGGGTGAGAATCGGCTGCAGTAGTGGCATGTGGGGCAGCACGTCGTTGCGCAGCGTGGACGATGTGGTGAAGATGACAGCCTTGTACACCCCCTGACTGAAGAACGGGGGCAAGAATCCCTTGTACAAGCCGCGCATGGTCTCCTGATGCACAGTCTGCTGGGCGCAGTGGAAGAAGCCGCGGAAGCGGGTGGGCGACAGCTGGAGCCGCGTGCGGATGGTGTCGAAGGGATGGCATGCTACCACACTCACCATGCCCGAGACAGAGCCAGCGACCACCGACTTGGTCCAAGGCGACAGCCGCACAGGAGACGCGGGCGATGAGCTCATTACCCGGTTTGACACTTTTTGGTGAGATCTGAGAAATTCGATGCCTCGCAGCACCGGAATTTTAGTATCGAGACTCGATCTTTTAATACTTGGACTCGGTAATCGAGTGGACTGTTAGCAGAATTTTTAAAATTATATAATAACGGATCCCAATTGTTCATGACGTTGACGTCATTGAAGTACATTTAAACGCGGATATTGCCTCCTTCGCTTTGCAGCACTGGATCTTGCTTTGCTTAAACAACTGGCTTACAGGCGTGAGGACGCGTCCATGGCGTACACGAATTCGCCACCGTCAACGATAACGACGCCGCGCTCCTTGACCACGGCTTGGAAGAGGACCTTGCCACTGCTCTCCTGCCACATGCGGGTCTGGATGGTCTCGCCTGGGAAGCATGGGCTTGAGAAGCGCACGCGAATGGACTTGAAGCGCGCCACGTCGCCGCCGCAAAACTGCTTGTACAGCGCGCGACTGGCCACGCCCATAGAGCACAGGCCGTGCAGGATGGGCTGCTTGAAGCCGACGCTCTTAGCGATCTCTGGGTCAATGTGCAGCGAGTTGTAGTCACCAGACAAGCGGTAGACCTGGGCCTGGTGAGGCGACGTCTTAAACTCATCGTAGAAGTCCGGCTGGCGCTTTGGGATCTGCACGCGGGCAGGGAGCTTGCGGCCCTTGCCCTCGTAGCCCGTGAGTCCGCGGATGAACGATCCGCTGATGAGTTTGGCCACGATTCCGTTGGCGTCCTCAAACTGGGTTTGCGTTTCCATTAGCGTGCCCTTGCCCTTATTGTAGAAGGAAATGACCTTCGTCTTGCCCGTGAGGATGCCTCCCACTGGGTCCAGAGGCCGCACGATCTCCACTGACTGCTCGCCGTGAAGAATCATGGCCGGATTGAACGCGGGCATGCCATCGGGTGTGGCTGATATGGTTTCAGGCGGGAAAGGCACTACATCCTGCGACTGACCCTTGAAGGGAAGGCAAACTGGGTAGAGCGGGAAGGCGGCGAACGTGTCGTCGAATTCGTACGTGAACTGCAGCGCCGACTCGCCGATGCCCACAGCGTATAACAGCAGATCGCGCTGGTTGTATGTGGCCGTGTATGTGGCCTCGGGGCTACTCAGGATCCTGTCCACGTTCACGCTCATCTTCGTAGAGTTCGGTAGATTCGGAAGTGTGGTTGATGATGTTGAACAAATCAACTTTGTTGACAAAACGTAACTCAATGATAGCTACGAAACAGCAGTCATTTCAGTACGGATGTGATGAAATGATAGATACAATATGGCGTTCAAAACACCACCACATGTAGAAGCTACCTATGTCGTTCGTACGTGGCACAATCAGAGTGCAGACCAGCGGAACGACAGCAACAACAAGTGAAGACAATGGCAGGTCTAGGACGTTTCTTCCTGTTCGGCGTGGCGTTGGTGGTGGCCATTGTGGCTCTGGCCTGGCCGCAGATCGAGCAGCAGCTTGTTGCTAGCGGCTACAGCTGCCCGTACCCCTTCTCTATCCTCATCACTGGCAAAGGCGCTGAGAAGGAGGCGGCGGCCGAGGCCGAGGGACTGCCCAAGTACACGCTGGACCAGCTGCGCATGTAAGTGCAATCACGTACGTATAAAACTTCGACGTCACAAATAATTATGGTGCTGTGGCTACAGGTACGATGGCTCGGACGAGGAGAAGCCCATCTTGGTGGCGGTCGGTGGCAAGGTACGCAACAAAGCTGCAGGTCGGTGGGAAGACGACGAAACCTGACGAAGAGCTGCTACATATATGCTTCTGCAGGTGCTGGACGTGACATCGGGCGCCAAGTTTTACGCCAAGGGCAAATCCTACAACCAGTTTGCCGGAACGGTACACTTTTGAGCTACGACTTAACAAGCGACTTTGGCTGGTTTAGACGTGTGCTGACACGTGTTTGGTGATGGTTTTTGTGCTGGTATTACAGGCCTGCACGCGCGCGCTGGCACTCGGATCGCTCAAGAAGGAGGTACGGAATGCTGGTATTATAAACGAGAAATGCACAGTGCACGAATTAAGCACTGGTGATTTTTGCTTGATTCTGGTTTGTAGGACATCAGCGACGACGTCTCGGACTTCAACGACAAGAAAAAGAAGGAACTCGAAGAAACTAAGGAGTTCTACTACGAAAAGTACCCTATCGTACGTTGCAAAGTGTTCGATTGCAAGGCGGCTTGGACTCTAATAAACGTTTCTTGTTGCTGCTGACGTAGGTCGGAGAGCTGGCTTAGGACTGCAGCTGCATCGTTTGGTAGAATTTGTGATTGTGCCCGGCTCATTTCGTCGGCAGCGCCAGTTCAATACAATGTACATGTGATCAAAGTTTCATGACTGCAGGTGGTAACAATTTCTATCGGACAGTAGAAATCCTGACTAGTTGGGCATCTCGATCGAGTGCAGCGCGTCTGCTGTCATTTCCTTGCGACAAACTTTTGCAAAGTCGCAGCACAAGCCTCGAAAGCGTCGCTCGGAATAGCGTGAGGGCTGAGAAGCAAGTGACAGCCACAAGTGCAGCACTTGCTGCCGGTCCTCGGGACGTAGCTCAGTCACGCCAAGCGCGTCGCGGGTCAGTGACTGCATTAGCGCCGTTCGAACTCGCTCATTGTCGGCAAAACTTGCCAACAGCGTGTACAATAACTTGGACAGCGAGTCATAGAGAGCACTAGGACTCTTAGAGGCCAGCGCTTCGATAAGACTGTCGAGCCACTTCTCAGTCTGCCCAGCATCCAGCACACTGGCGTTGATTGTTGCTGTGAACGAGGCCAGTTTGATCGTGCTTTCATTCAGCAGGAATGTGAGAAACATGAGAACTGCATTAGTGGATGGACGATCCTGGTTGCCCAGGCAGGCCAAGCCGAGACCGATAAGCACTGGAAACTCAGGAGCTGAGAGTAATGCTGCTGGACAGAAGAGCAAGAAGCGGTAGGCTAGCTCAAAAAAGGATCGGAGCACGTCCGGCGACTCGGCTAGCGAATGCGTCGTGAAAAAGTGGAACGCCGACTGGCTCAACGCGCCCATTAGACCCCGGAAACTCTCGACGATCTCAGCACTTGCATCTTTTCCGAAGACATCAACAGCCACAGAGGCGCATTCGAGTGGAGCCACGAAACGCCGTTGCTCGAAGACCCTAAGAATTAATGTAGCGATGCCTCCGAGCTCAGGTGCCATCTCCTGCCTCAGACTCTGCAAACACCATCCATACAACTCGAACAGAGCTACCATCACAGCTTCGTAGGCTTCTAATCGTGGTGTAATGGGATCCAAGTGAGGCCAAATCTGCTGCACCGTCCACCCCGTAACACCCTGCCCCCCCGCAATGTCTGCGGGTGCGTCCAGAAACCGCATCACCTTGCTAAGTACTTGAAGCTCACTGCACACCGGACTAGCCACAGCCGTATCATCCACCCCCGTAGCTATCAGCACTTGATCCAGACGCGCCAGTGAGTCGTTGAGAACAGTCTGTAGGATCACCGAGCAGTGCGGAGAGACAGCTGCGGCTCGAACGAGACCTTCAACCACCAGCAAGCGATCGTCAATAGGCATGGATTCTTGACCAGAAGAGGCGCCAAAACGCAGCACACTAGCCAGGAGGAAACTTGGCTGCATCTCGGAAAGGCACCCCGTACAACTCGTTGCGACTTGCATAAAACTCTTTGCAGCATTACTACGGCTCGCTTCAAGTCCAAGAGCACCTGTCAGATACTGGAGCACAGCCCCCACCGTGTCGAATGCGCGTGCAGCTAAAGCCTTGTCGTTGATCCAGCCAGCAAACTGACCCAGGAGCCGCGAAGCTGTCGTGATTACGAGGGGATACATGCTTGCTGACGAGACCAATACAGCCTGCATAATTTGTGACACCATGCCCTCCAACTCTACTTGCTGCGGGGTACTCGCGGATGTATTGGGCAGCTTCTTCTTGATCTCATCAGCCACTGTAGAGACTGCAAACAGAGCAACTTCGACGCTCTGCCACTCACTCGACCCGGCCGACGTAAGGATCGGAAGTAGATAAGTAAGATATTGCTCCTTAAGTAAAGTAAAAATCGACATGAAAGCCTCCGGGACACCCTGGAAGCCGCTTCGGAAAGCCATGAGATCGTCGAGCTCTAGTTCATCCATATCCTCAGCGTCCCCTCGGGGGAACGAGCACTGTTTGAGCATGACATCAAAAAGCCGTACAAAGGCGTCATGCTGGAAGAACTGATACCGTGACGCGACAGGCTCATCCTGAACGACCATCCAAAACTCAAGAGTGAGAGACGCAATTTGTCGGCGTGGATGTGAGCCCAGATACAACATCAATTCACCCAGAGCAGCGGAATCCTGTGGATATTCACCTTCCAGAATCCAATCTGCGTATGTTTCACAAAATGTCGAGATGACATCTGTTATCGCGTGGCTCACGTCGTCTTCTCCAGAAGCAAGAGCACTTTCGCATGCTGCTCGCGTCTCGAGTAACCCTCGCGCCACGACCAACAACGTCCGTTCCAACTGAGCCGGAGGCGGGTATGACGCGACTGTAATCAACTTCGTTAAGATCTCAGCACATATCTGCAAGTGCTCCGACTTGCTCTGCAGAGCGTCCAGCAGTGCAAGCAACACGGCTTCATCCTTGGAGTAGAGCGACGCCAAAGAGAGACCTGCGCGTCTAACCCACACATTTAAGCACGCTAAAGCCTCACCATGTAGTGAAGCCACACGTGCATTCTGATCTCCACGTGCGAGCACAATTTTCCCGATCAACGTAACTAAGTCTCCACTTAGAGCATTGAGGTGCATCTCCATCGCATCTTTGGCGGCAAATGCTAACTCAGCGTCTTCCATTTCCTCACAGACACAGCGAGAAAACATCAGCAGAAACGCAATCTCTCCTGCGTCTCCTGATCTCGAGCAATTAGCCAATAACTGAGATAATAGAGCTTTGCAGTCCTTGGGGGAGGAAATCATTACCACCGCGTAGATAGCACAGAGTTTGCTGGTTATCGGACCCTGATGGAATTCTGGCCGCGTGCCAGACCGCAGCACCTGAATGGTCGTCTGTATTGACGCTGTCATCGCTATCTTCTGTTCTGTCGGCAGCCGCACCCATTCCTTGCGCACCTTGGTGTGGAGCATGTTGGCTGCAAAGAAGAGTGCTTCGGGAGGCAACACCAGAGTTTCTTCCTGTAATAGCTGGAAGCCTACGGGCCATGATGCATCGGAAGCAGCAAAGGCATTGAGAAATTCATTGGCTTCTCGCTGCCGTGCGGCTCCTTCCTGTAATGTTTATTGTGAGTCAATGGGCCTTTTCAATAAATTGAGCAGGATGCAAAACGAGTTGCGACGAGAAAACTGCACAGCTAGTATTGCACACGACGCACCATGCCATAGAGCGCCTGCACGGCGTTAAGAACCCCCGGGAGCGCGTTCTCCGTCATAGGAGCTAGGGTACGTATCTCCGAAACAGCAAATGCTAAATAGCGGTATACATAAGATGAACTTTATTTTTATTTAAAATAAAAAAGGTACAGTACATGTATTAATAAATACCGGTATTCTACATCAAATTGCAGGCCTATAATGTAAAAATAATAGTTTGTTACAGGCTGAAACAAATTATTATTTTTACTATCGATATTAGGGTTTTTTATTTGGTATGTGCCGGTAATTATCTGGGAACTATATCAATTATGACATCCGATTCATTATTTTGGTGGGTTGCCATATATTAAAGCACTCGGTTGGCGATGCCGAGCATCCTCGACTACTTCAAGCCTGTCAGCAAGGCTAAACGACCGCGTGATGAAGCCCCCCTAATCGACTCAACAAAGAAAGAGTCTTCGACCGCAACCCCAACACCGCATTGCTTGGGTTCTGATACCCACCACAAGCCGGGAAAATCTGCGGCATCTAGGATTTTGGTGACGCTCGACGCTACGGAGCTTCCGAGACAGTGTAAAGTAGCAAAACTCAGTTCCGACTATGCTGAAGGTGTTTCAGTATCTGCTGCTCCATCGGATCAGCCTCTTGAGCTCTCGGAGTACGAACGGAAGCGAATGGTGAAAATGACGGCAAACGCCAGGTTCCTGCAAGAGTTAGGGATGACCTCCACCCAATTGGAAATAACAAGGCAACTGCAACAAGACCGAACTCCCGAAACAAAACCAACTAAAAGACACTTAAAGCCGAAATCTTTGCCGGAAGAGGTTCCCGTGCGGAGATCTAGTCGTCTTCGTGGTGAAGCTGCTCCAGGGCCACAAAAACCTTTGATAGTAAAGGAAGATGAACGTAACGGATTCGATGAACTTGGATCACTCGAAATGGAAGCTTCATTTGCCGAGTCCAATGTGCTGCAATACTTTGTCAATGGAAACCACGATAACCGAAGGACACCGCCGTCTTCGTCGCAGGACTGCAATGGTCAGGAGCTGGTGGGATTCGCAGTAGACTCAAAATCCTATCTAATCGACCGCAGTATCAAGAAGACGTACGATATCTCCTTCACCTCTTTTCAAGAGAACGGCCTCGTTGCGACGGGCGGTCACGGAGGTCTCGTGTCAGTTTTTGCGCTCTCAAATTCCTACCATCAACCGGAAATTGTCGACGGATTTGTGGATGATCCTGGTGCACATATCCCACTCATGTCATTCAAAGCGCACAGCGGGTGGGTTTCTGCAATCAGTCTAGCGAGAAGCGTCCGAGGAAAGCGAACCTGCTCTTGACAGCGTCAAACGACGCCTCCGTGAAGCTTTGGGACTTGAATCACAGCTCCGAAATGCTGAAAACTCCCAAGGAGATTTTTTCCAACTCAAGTCTACACACCAAGGGCATCTTCGGTATGGATGTCTGTGACGATTCCGTTTTGACGTGCTCAAAAGACACTTCGATTGCGCTTTCACAATTCCGCGGCGATACGGGTCTGCTCGAGGTGAAGCAGCGGTTTGATGATCACGCTGGCGTCGTTAAATGTGTGCGGTTTGCTAAGTGCAACCCTCAAATTTTTGCATCAGGTGGCAACGATCGAGAACTACATGTATTTGACACACGAGTAGCTGCGAACCCCAGCGTTGTGACAGTTGGTGGCATGCATTCCCGAGCGATCAACAGTGTTCAATTCCATCCGACGGATGACAACCTGTTGCTGTCGGCAGGGTTTGACTCAAACTTCTTTATGTTCGACTTGCGTAATACGTCCACCCCAATGTGTACGTTCCGTCAGCTCAACGACACCAACAAGGCGATTTTCCACCCAATTTTCGTCCGGAATGGTCTAGGAATTGTGGCAGCACGAGGACACGATCTGTCGTTATACAGAACAAGCGACGGTGTAGTGGTTAGTCGCGGCCATGTTGATGACGCTGCAACCTGCATTGCTGCAGATCCATTTCATGACCGAATTGCGATTGCTCAAAGCGGCAAACTTCAATTTGCAGACGCAAAATGGGAGAGCAAGACGATGCAAACCCGTTGCCTATAGCTCAATTGTTCACGCTTAGCTCTCGTCTACGATGCTGGCACGTGGGACTTCAGCCACTCGTTCTCCTCGCGTAACGACCGATTCTCCTCCACTATGGCGTCAAAGCGGTCCATTAAATTTTCAAGCAAAGTCGAGAGCTGATCAATCTCTTCTTGACGCCGCAGTTCCATTTCCTCTCGAAGTCGTTGGACCTCGGCACGCAGTTTTGATTTACCGAAATCCATTTGTTTGGACGGAGAGAAGGCATCGGATGTCTGCTCCGATAGGCGTCGAGACAAAGCGGATAATAAGGATGATACCGCAGAGGACTTGGACTGCCGCCTTTCGTCCATGGATCCTTGGACTGTTGCAAGCTCTGATCGGGCATTTGCAAATGGCCGGCTGGGGGAAGATTGCGTTGGGGTTGCGAAGCCATTTGAATGGCTTTGTGGAGATGCAGGTTCCGATGGCTCTGCTGTATACGGGAATAATACCATTTCAGCATTCAAAGCAGTTTTAGCGCGTAAGGCACTTACTTACCTATGCGTGTTGCAAACCGAGTCGGAGAAGATGGTGGCGACGAGTGAACTAGCCCTGGTTTATCCTCGTGCTTCCTCGTCGGGCTTCCCATGCCGAGCGCTTCGAGTTTCCGTACTGCGATCTCTTGCAGTGTTTCTCCTTTGCAAGGTGAAACGTGCTCAGCCGACACAACGGGGACACCTTCTGGAATAACACCCGTTGTAACGACGTCGGATGGAGGTGGTGAAAATTGAAGTGAGTGAACTCCAGAGGTTTCGTGTACGAGGGTGGAAAATAGTGGCGTGATGGCCCCTCGGAGATCGTACACGAGGATCACGCCCGTTGTTGTCCCTACTGCGAGTGTCTTTCCATCAGCACATAGAGCCAAGGACGAAACTGGCTGCTCCAAGTCTAAAGATCGTAGTTTTCTGTTCACACACAAGACACACATCAGCAGTGAGGTGTTAACAACAAGAAATGACGACGTGCCGTACTTGCGCTGTAGGGTATCATAGAAGATCACTCGACCATCCAGACCACCCGTTGCAAGCAAAACCTTGCTGACTGGAGACAACGTCAATGATGTGGCTGGTGCCTCATGTTGACGAACGAATTCTGCCTTCAGTTGCCCAGTGCTCAAGTCCCATACTCGGACTGAACCATCCGAGTACGTGGATCCGAGAGTATGCCGGGCATACGGATGTGGAGATGCTTGAATTGCCATCACTTTGTGTACCCCATGAGCCGGATCGACTGTCAGGAACCCAGCTGTCTCTGCTGTTTGGACGTCGCACACGGAGATGGCACCACTACCAGCACCACGAAACGAGCAGGTTAAATACGCTTGCGAGGTTTGATGAAGGAATTCTTGCTGAGGTTACCTGGCACTGCCCCCGACGATGAATTCATCCTTGTATCCGCTAAAGGCAACGGAGGTGACAACGCTGGCACTGATGTTGTATGTTTGCATAGTTTCTTGAGTTTTGAGATCCCACAACTGATAAAGTTGACACACTAAGTGTTACGACGTCTTGTTACCTTTCACATTGAAACATTTTTTGTTTACCCGAACACAGCCGTCATTGCCACCAGAAGCAAGAAATCTTGACCCACTGCTGAACTGCACAGCATTCACGCGCTGTAAAAATGACGAAGTGATGGTTAGAACCCAACGAAACGTGATCCATCAAAATGGCTGCACCAACTCGATTTGCAGGTGCTTCACCAGGATTGAAAAACCGGGACAGCAGCTCTCCTGACGAAGCCACATTCAGACATATTCCGCCTTCCACGCTACTGCTGGCCAGAATTCTTCCATTGTGGTTATACCGGGCACATGACACGTCAGCATTAAGCGAGCTAAGCGTGCGCTGGTGTGTGATGGTCTCCGAAGTCACTTCAAAGGTCTTGGTCACTAATCCAGCAGCACAACACAGGAACATGGCTTTAACGCCGTAGCGAGGATGCGTCGTTTCACGAATATGGCTACAGTTTGTCTTGATGGCTACAGTGTGCATCGCACTTAATGCAATCCTGACCATCAAATTACAGCTCGTGAACACCATGGTGCTGCTGCAGACGCTCCGCAGGACGGCGAGCTACGGGCTGCGCATGGCTCCTCGTAGCTCTGCGCTGTATTGTACGTGAAGCTTGTATCCCTGGATTGTACACACCTTCGTCTCGCGTCTTACCTCGTGCCCTGTCGTCTGCAATTCAGCAACGGAGCGTGTGTTCCCCAACTTCTCGATATACGGCAGTGACTCGGCCTTTCAGGTGTCTCCCAGCCCGCCACAGTACACCAACGGTGGCAACTACTTGAAAACCAAGCGAGTGGTGAGTATATCAAGGTCTTATTTAGGCTTGCAGAGTCCTTATTGCTAGCAAAAGTGGAGATATTTATGAGCTAAGTGCGCTTCTGGATGCTGTGCACAGGGAGCCATCATGCTGTCGTGGGCCAAGGCTACCAACTCGGGTTACAACTACCAGAACAAGACGGTGAGCTCAATCGATAGCTACTGGTGCATGAAGAGACTACAGTGGCTGACTCTCTGTGCTGATGCAGTTCTTCTCGCTAAGCCCGTCAGAGGTGGGACTAGTGCTGGAACTGCTGGACTCGCGTATCCCGGAGCTGTCGCTCACGCACTCACCCAACATGAACGCTTCTGAGGAGGACAAGAACACCAAGTCTCTGCACATCACGCGTGCGTCGGGTTCGGACGGAAACCCGTTGATTCTGATCAAGGTGAACCACGAGAGTGAGTCTGTCGCCACGCTCAACATCGGCGAGGCGCGTGTTTTCAAGGAGCTGCTGACGTATTCGCTTCCACGACTTCTGGGCTACCACTCGGTGCTGGAAGGGCCTCTGTAAGGGATTCACTTGAGGAATGGTTGCGTACTCATTACGGAAGCGCTAATGCTGTTGTTGCACCAGGAATGTCGAGGGCGGAACTAGTAGTGGTGGCTTCTCCCAGGGTGGTGGCAACTCATACTCACCTGGCTCCAACAGCGGATATCGCGGATCCAACAACAAACCTGCTGGGGACTGGCCATTTTAATGCCCCCCCCCCATTGATCACAGCAGGGTAAACGTAAGATGCCTGGCGTTCTTGGCTACTTTCTCCGTGGCGTGACCTAGTGAACGCGAACGGCTCACTTTTACTAAGAAAACGAGTACTATTTCAGTAGTAGCAAAAGATGTTGTGCACGTTGTTGAAAAAAAAAACTGTGGACGCCTTTGGGACCTGCTGTTGGGCACGTATGTACAGTAGTATTCTTGCTAAGAAAGCAGACAGCGTAGCGTTCGCACTATGCAATTGATCGCAGCGAACAACGTGCATTGCGGTGCTCCATCAACATCGTAGCATCCAACTGGAAATGATGACCAAAGTCTGGATTGAGCAACTCGAATTCATTTCGCGCTTCAGACGATTCATCACGATCTGTCTCCAGTGCATGCATCACACGGAAAGATCTTGATCAGACCAAAGTCCACTTTCGCATACTGCTCTGTGACCTCCGCCCCAGTCGATTACTTCTCCATCACCCCATCTTCAAACGAGTGCTTCTTCACCGCTGTCTCGTGAAAGGTATTCTTATCTCTCTTCACGTCCAGCATCGTCTCCTGTTCCATCGGTCGGCAGCGTTTGCCAGTACTACTCTTCAACCCACTCTTGAGCCACTGTGCTAACGTCTCGAGCTTTTCTTTCTGCTCCACCACACAAGGCAAGGTCTCTCTCTCTAGCTGGCACAAATTCTGACGTATGTTGATCAATGTAGCGGCCTGATGAGGACAAATCTTACGCAGTCTCCTGCTCTCTTTGAGTTGCTTCATTTGAGCCCTTGGAGCTTCTTCTCCATGTCAAGCCCCTTGACCACCTCGTCCTTCCATACCTTATGCAGCTGCAGCTTGTCGTTCTCCAGCTTGGCGATCCAATCTCCAGCCTCCCGTTCCGACTGCTGCTTGGCAAAGAGAAGCGTCTCCAGCTTCGCCTTCAGTCGTTTGTTCTCGATCCTCACCTGATCGTCAGCCTCAGGCGACTGTCTGTGAGTCAATAAGTGCTTGTCGCGGCTCGAGCTTATCTGCATATTGTCCGAGACGTCGCCTTCCAGAGCGGACTCACTCTTCGAGGCCCAAAGGTGACTTTAACCATGGTCGATTTTTTCCCGTTAATCCATTTTCTTTTACAAGGATGCAAGAGTGTTGGTCATTAAGTTGAAGTTATTCACGTCGAAGATGGACGCAAACTCAAGGCAAACAAACAGTCAATTGGGTGAGTTTAGAAAACCGAGCCCCTTGTGTTCTCTAGCGAACTGTACAGAGCGGGTTTTCAACGGGAGGCGAGTAGCGAGCTAAGTTGAATGAACTCTCGCGATGTTTCCACCCTCGCCCTTCCCTACCTGCTCTGTGCTATTCAGTTGGCTGGCTGGTAGCTTCCTCTCCTCCACCTTCAACTGCATTGCGACTCTAAATCTAGAATGAAAGCTGCGCACCGTAGCCAAATTTGAAGTCGTCTTTGAGCGGAAAGCCCTCAGCCGACAACGTGAGCACAAAGTTTGGCAGCACACGCGACTCGATGCTCGTCGCTACGCGGAAGGTCGAGTCCACGCTGGACACGAACCGTGTCTGACCTAGATCCATTTCCACACCGCAAGTGGTCTGCGCCTCACCCGAAGCGTGGTTGTACACAAGTTCGGAGCCGTAACGGATCCGGTGACCCACCTTGCGAAGGTACGCCAGCTGTAGCGTACCCATGGCGCCGTATGTGGCCATTCCCACCCAGTCGCGGTCGGTCCACTTGCCAGCGTAAGCCGAGATGACCTTGCGGTGCTTGCCGTGATAGTAGGCCTCGCCACCGAGAGCGAGGTTCTGCGTGACACTCTGCAAGTAGCTGACGCCGAGCAGCGGGCCGTTGGAGACCTTCATGTTCCACGTAAAATCCTCTCCAGTGTAGTCAAAGTCAGCGAGCGCCTGGGAGCCGTGCTCTTCATTCTTTAGCTGCGCCTTAACGCGCATCTTCCAATTGTCGGACAGTTTTTGGTTCCACCGGGCGTCGAGGTAGCCGTCCGGTGTGATCTTACTCATGAGGAAAGTAGACGGGTCCATGGGGTCGCCCATCACGACGTTGGCGCCGAACTGGTAGAGTCCACCGGGAATCATAGGCGTTCCCAAGAGGAACGAGTGCGATGTGGAGCAGGTCTGGCCTAGAATACGCGTGAAGTCGAAGCGGAAGCCGTCGAAAGCATCAGGACTCACAGGCCCCTTGAGCTCATTAGGGGCGCTCTCGTACAAACCAGGGTTCGGCAACTTGGCGCGTTCCTTTTCAATATCCTCTACCTGTTGCATGAACACGGGCAGGTCTCCCTCCTGCGATAGGTAGGATGATAAAACGGCAAATATCGTTCAGAATGGGCAGCAGGGTAAGGAGACTAGAGCGCGACGTACAGGAGCTGCACTGGTGGCCAGCACAGGGTACTGCTTTCTGGATGAGCGCTCAGGCTTGCTTGGTTTACCTCCCATAGCGACGGCGGACGGACGGACAGAAAGCACGGGAAGGGGACAGACAGCGTATGCGTCTCTCCTCGTCTCGCTCGTAGCTACTGGTGTTGACTGGAGATCGAGCGGCTCAAAAGAGCAAGAAAAATACAGCTTTTACACCAATACCGGGGCGATATCGGATTAATTTCGACCACTTAGAATGCTCTTATTCGTACTTAAAAAAGTGATTGGACACACCATCTGGACACTGGAACTAAAGGTGTGGTATCTGTTGAGATGGCGACCTTAGTGCTAAACGACGACGACGCACCACTGTACACGCTCGCATACTTCACGAGCGACTGGGTAAGGTCGGTGGATGCGGTCGTGCTACCTAGACTGCGCGCAGTACTAGATGGGGTCAATGCGCTTTACAAGAAGCGGAACCTGGTCGGATTGCTGGAAGTTCGACGGATGGATGGAGGCACTGGCGATGCCGACATCAGTAGTGACAAAACGCAGCGACTGGAACCATCGTACGCTACAGAAATAACACCGCTCTCACTGCGATGATTCGTTTGTCTAACGATTAATACTTTGCTACTAGAACGTTCGGGTCGCTGTGCAAGCTCTTCCGAGTGACGGACGTGCCGGCATGTGTGCTGCTAGACGCACAGGGACAAGCGCTGACTTTGAAATCGTTAAAAGCCCTACAGGTGGCATTTAAAAGCTGTTGTCCATACTGTAAATACAATACCTAACTGAGTTAATGTGCAGAACGAACTCCTCCGACATTACGAGGACGATAACGACAACGTCGCATCAATGGATTCAGATTCACCATGTAATTGCCGCTAAGCGGCTACCTGGGCGCTTATTATTAACAATTCGGCATTATTTGTCAAAAGGACTCATTTTCGAATGCCGCTGCTGTCAGGGAATGTGCTTGGTGAGCTGTTGAAAGACAGCGGAGCTCCAGCCGCTGCGTGGGGAGCGCTTCAACCACTCTGGAACATCCACGTTAGTTCAGCGGGCGCGAATATTCCCAAACCTCTCGACGTGACCGATCCCAAACTTGTAAGGATGCGCGAAGAGGCTTTAAAGTTGTTTGAAACGGGGCAGTTTCTTCCGGCCTTGTCGAGCTTCGTCAGAGTCCTGCTGCATTGTCCGACGTGCACGAAATCCAGTTTCAATCTTGCTGTAATTCTGCAAATGATCGGTACGAGAACTTTTATGAAGAACTAGTTGCTCTCAAGTCCAAACTCATCTCGTGCATATTCCTTTTGCAGGCGAAACGTACTTTGCAGTGTCCTCCATGCTGCGCGTCGTCGCACTCGACGACAGCGACTCCGTAGCACACACTGTCCTCCGGTACAAAGCAGTCAGTTGTACTGTACATGCATGATATCGGCTGAGCATCCGTGATCATTGTTTTTAAACAGATCCGTGTACTATCAGGAAGAGCCCGACATTGTCGCTGCTGGATATCGCTTAATCGTCGCATCAAATCGCAACAGCCACCTTCGAGCAGTGCACTCGCTTGCCACACTTGAGGGGGCCACCACTACCAAGACCGCGGCTCCTGCTTATGTTGCCAAAGTATTTGACGAACTTGCTAATACTTTTGAGGAAAAGCTGGTGGCACATCTAGAGTACCGTGTGCCCTGGCAACTAGTCAAAGCTCTGCAGAAACTATCTCCACCTGGATTCATTGCTAAAGATTCGACAGCAGAATCTGAATGGGTTGTTGCCGACGTTGGGTGTGGCACCGGCCTCTGTGGGCGTCTACTGCGTTCCCATGTGAAACATATCGTTGGGGTATGGACCGATGAGGCGAGGTGTAACTTGAAGTGTGGATGGTTACTCATCGCTTTTCATGGTGTGTAGGTGGACATTTCGCCTTTGATGATAGAGAAAACACGAGCTGGGGGCAGTTACGATGAGCTACACAGTACGTTCGTCACTTTCTATTTACTGTTATACGGTGGTACCGTAGCTGACCGATGACCATGTGCCTTCATTTCAGCGGTCGGCATTGTGCCATTCCTCGAGGCGTGTGCGGATGAAACCTTGGATCTTATCATCTCTGCTGATGTGTGGATATACGTGGGTGCTTTGGAGCAAGTTTTTGAGCTGAGTAGACGTAAGCTGCGTGCGTCTACTGGCTGGATGGCTTTCTCCATCGAGTTATTGCCTTCTGGTATCGTTGAAGATGCCAAGGACAGTGCGAATGAAACTTCAGTGGGCTTTCGCTTAGCGCTGTCAGGTCGGTTCCAACACTCGCACGAGTACGTAACGTCTCTCGCTAGTCGATGGGGCTTAACTGTCGCTATTCAACAAGATGTCAGCGTTCGCAAAGAGAGTGGAGAGCCTATTCCAGGCCGCATCTACCTCCTCCACCGAGTTGATGATTCACAGAAGAACCGTCGTTGCAATGCCCACCACAAAGGCGATGGATAATATGTTGATTGGTTTCTGACTACTCCGCTTTTTTCTATCGAGGTTAGGAGCGAGTGTATAATCATGATCGTACGTTAGCTGTGTGCAGCATTGACCCAGAGTTTGTACACTTGTCTGGCTGCACACCCATGAGTTTAAGCAGCGTATCTCGACTGTTCCACGACAACACCATTTGCCTGATTCTGTCGCCCTTGAAGGTGAAGCAAGACTTGCCACTTATGCAAACCTTTTTGTGCAGTGGCTGGACGCCAAAGAACGGGTAGATTTGTGTGCCACTGAAGGTCCATGTGGCCTTCATCTGCTCACTGTTGCCTTCCTCACGTTGAATAATGTACTCTTCCATGATTCCATCAGGGAAGGCGTCAAGCAGTAAGTTCCAGTGCGACATCACAGCGTCCACGCCATGCAACCCTTCCAAGTAGTTGGGGCTGTAAAGCGTCACGTCGTTGTCGTACACATTGTCCGCAATCTCCTCCAAGTCCTCGATGACTCCGGTGTTCCAAGCCTCCAGAATCCCGTGTAAAATATCATATCTCCGTCTATACAAATTCTCTGCTGGTACATCGCTCTTAGTGACGGCATTGTGTTGTTCTAATCCCTTAGCCTTCTTCATTCTGTCCGTCTCCCCTCCAAGTCTGTGAAGCTCTGCCGCCTTCCGTTTGTGGTGGCGGTAGGTCGTGGAGTCCGTCGTCGTGGGTAGTGGATGCGGCTCCGGTTTGCACTCCACGAGGCTCTGTAGCTCTGCGCCATCGCAGCTGCCACCGAAGCTTGTGTCGAACTCCGCGGCTTGTAGCATGTTTAGGTCCTGGTCCTCGGACGCGAAGATGGGCGAGTCCAGCGTGGCATTGGGACCGGAGAAGGGTTCAAGAAAGTCGTCCAATAGGAACTGATCCAGGTCCACATCCATAGCAGCGTCCACACCCAGGAGACCACTTGAGACGGCGCTGAAGCTGCTGAGTGATGCCTCCCACTCGCGCCACTCGCTGCTCGAAGTGCGGCGCATGGTCGGAGACAGGAACGCGGAAGTTGCGGGGCAGTTGGCTGACCCATTGGCGGGAGCTGAGGAAGAAGCAGTAGCGTCGAGCGAGTGCAGCGGCGATGAGGCGCGCATTGTCTGCGTAAAAGTTAAGAAAGGCTTCTTCCTCCGACGGCAATTGCAAAATGGTAAGGTCCTTGACGAGGGTAGAACACCAGCAACTTGAAGTGGTATGTTGACACGCCCTGGTCAGCAAATCAAGCGGACTTCGTCAATTCGCGATACTAACGAACATTTCGGGCGCTTGGATAGGCCAATATTGTCGTTGGTGAGGCTAGTTCTGCGATTAAAGCCGAAGTGGTTTACACGTACAGAGTAATCCCCGTAGTGTCAGTGCCGCCGTTGAGCACTGCGTAGTCGTCACTGTAAAGTTTTGGGGCATGGCAGTGCTGGGGTTTTTAGCAGCGTGAAGTTTTGCGAGCCATTTAACTCCAACATTTAACATATTTGGAAGGCATTTTAAGTACCCTGAATAAGCGTAGGGGGCTGTCTGATTAATTTGCATAGGGTTTGTCAAAAGCTTCCCCAATTCATGTGATCCGATACGAAAGGGTATTTGAAGTACAAACTACGCTTATTCAGGGGGACTTCTGTACACGTACATGTATTTACATGCAACTTCAACATTTCGGTTAATCCCATGTCCAATAGTATATACATGTACATACCGAGTAGGTTTACATGATGCACAGTACAGTACATGTAAACCCATCGGGTTCAGTACAGTGCATGACAGCCGAGCGTCATACATTAATTGCTTTGAATCCGCGTAAGCATTACGCGGGAGCGTAAGACGGACCGTATTAAACGGTGCATACGTGATCAGGTCAAACATTTGGTCATTTATTGACCAATGGAATGCGTAAAAAACGAGCAAGCTCCTCCCGTCAAAGCGCATGTTCGCAACGAGCGTAGCACTGCTCTCGAGTTTTTTTTGCTCCCCCGATTTTTGCGCGATGTCGCGGATCGCGCTGGGACGGCCAACTGACAGGGCTGTTCGAGCAGTTGGAGCTGACGAGGCCGAGCGAGTGGCTTCGTTGCAGTATCAAACTGGTACAGAGGGATACTAAGTGTATCCAAAGATAAGAGCAGTCATCAGGTGGAGATGACGCGAGTCCGAGGCGTGCCGGGGCGACTAGGACGGAGGCGACCGTGGACCGGTGCCTTAGGTAACGCGGTACAATACATTGTACCCCAGGTTACAGAAAGAGTGACCCGTCACTCTTGTGACCTGGTACACGGTACCAGGTGCTCTAGGAGCCAGTCAGGGCATGACTAATTAGCTCCACTAAAGGCAACCTCCAGTTTGTATAGAACCCAAGCTAAGCTTACTTATAAACTAGCCGAGCGTCGCCGCTTCGTGGCGGTGGATGTATGTTAACTATTGTGTTATGCCTCCGCCATGCCTCGCTGCACTACTCGCATGGTTAGTTGGTACGCTGTGGTTGGGGCGGTCCCTTCCATCCCGCAATGTTGCCATGTTGGGCCGCCTCGCTGCGCTCGGCAGCAGTTGTATTTATGGCCAATGGGTGGGGCGCCTTCGCTTCGCTCGGCAGCATTTTGTCCAGTGAGAAGTGCTTATTTGTGCTACGGACGGAGTCGCCGACAGACAGACACGTCAGCAGAGCAGTGTTTTAGATGCACCATTCTTACATCTACTCTATCAAGTAGCAAACTGTTCCCACTGAGGCCGGAAACACGTGGACTAACGTTCACTCGGGTAGTAAATACCCTTAAGCATTTTCTCTGTGCAAGGTAGCACTTGTAGTCAATCCTACACCTTCGCGGGTAGATTGAACTACCTGAACCCTCTGTGCGCTCTACGTTTGAGCCGCGACGGACCGAAGTGAGTTTCCTCGCTTGAACGACTCACAGTACGAGTCTGTTCGGAAGATGGGAGGCATCCTCGGACAAGATGTCCTTCGCAGCTTGGCGGCGGCGAAGCCTGCCGAGCAACACGAGTGCGTGACCGCGTTGAAGACCTACGAGCGTGGTCTCATCGCTCACGTCCGCGAGAGTTTGGAGGCCTCGATGGCCGCTCCCCAGGTAGCCAGGTCTAAGCCGATAAGGCTGGAGGTCCTCGCGTTTAAGGGGAAGGAAGGAGAGAACCTTCACTTCTGGGTCCGTGAGGTGGAGATCGCCATGAAGGCGGGTCTCATCTCGGACGAGCCACTTCGGGTGGATTTTGCCCTGCCCAACCATGGTGGACGTGCCAAGCACTGGGCATACACCAGGAGGACGATATCTCCTGGATGCTTTGCATCCTGGGCTCAGCTGTGTGAACAGCTTCGAACCGCATTCCTACCGGCGAACAACGAGTTTCGCCAGTACTTATACTTTTTCGCGTGTAAGCAAGGTACACGTGAGCTGCAGGAGTACGTGCAAGAGATGCGCACGTGGGTGGCATTTCTGACAGGGAAGACATCAAGACAACAGTCTTCATGGACGGCCTGAAGGTCGGCCCTGCTCGCACCCAGCTTTCCGGGTGCAAGCGACAACTTTGGAGGAGGTGATTAGAATTGCCCTCTGTCACGGCACCCAGCTGGACGGCGGACTCGCCATCCTCTCAGACTGCGTTCGGAAGATCGCTTGCTGCAGAAGTCGCAGGCCACGTCCAAGCAACTGTGCCCTCCGGCCCAATCAGCGGCGTTCCAAGCTTAGAGTGAAACGCCTGGCCGTCGAAAAGGGTGGGAATTTACGTTGGACCTCCACGTGGTAGTGGTTTACGGAAAGATTAGAAGCCTAGCGCTCCGTTGGGAGCTGTAGGTAGAAGCTCAGTCGTGATTTTTCTTCTTACAAGAGAAGTGCTCAAGAATATAACTACGACTTTACATTTACGTGATAAGCCTAAGCTCCTACGTCGGCCTGCTAGATACACGACCCCGACCTACCGAGGATTACCGCGACAATTTGGTGGAAAAGCAGAGTATTTTCACGCCAAAGAATCGTAGGAGCGTAAACGCGGAGTGAGCCGCCCCTTTGGTAGCGGAAAGTCAAAGCGGGAGGAAAAAGGAAGTGGGAACGCTATGAGTGCCCACAACGGGTCTAGTGAAGGACACGGCGGTGAGACAAGGAAGAAGGTGGGGGATGGTCGTCTCCACTACTGATCGAGTCACTATTCCAAGCCGAGACCTACGAAGAAGACAAGCGCGCACCTAGTATCGCCGGCGGCGGCGAAGAAGAAGAGGTCCGCGTCAGAAGAAACGGAGACGTTCCCGCGGAAACTGGAACGCCTCGTTCAGCTAATTCGGAAGGACGGAGCGACGCTGATAGAGAAGCAACTAGCTACGAAGCCAAGGTACTGGGGATGGTGAAAGAGGTCCTGTCAGAACCCGAGATGCCTGGAAAACAAGAGTGGTTGGGTGTCGTCTTGGAGCAGTTAGCTCGGCGGCCTGGACAGAGTATGAAGCTGAAAGCGCTCGTGTCGGGAGCGCCCCGAAAAGTGCCGTTCTCGTTCGACCCGTCGCACCCCTCGCTGATGCCCCTCAGGGATGCTGGGAGTGCTAGGGTGACAGCCACCCCGACGAACGTGACAACGGAAGCAAGGTTCACAGGGGGAGGACGACTCCGGGGACGACTACGTATCTTTCGGGACGGCTTGAAGGCCAAGTGGCAGCGCCAGCTCGATCGATGACTACGCCTGCGAGGTCGATGTCTACACTAGCCCGATCAAGAGGAACGCCTGCTCGGTCAGTGGCGACGCCTGCCCGATCGATGACGGCCTCGGCGAGAACTATGACCACGCCTGCGAAGTCTGCGTCGACGCCTGCCAAGTCTGTGTCGACACCTGCTCGATCGGTAGTAGCGTCTGCCTGGTCTGGGACGCCGTCCAGCGACTGGAGGTTGCAAGCCCTGGTGGATGAATCGACTGAGCGAGTGCTCCGGAAACTGACGGTGCCTCGTGAATCTAGCGCTGGAACGCCACGCTCATGAGTGGCGGGACCAGAAGAGCGCTACACGCCTGGGTCAGCCAGATTGGAACGTACGAGTTGCAGCGCTCATCAAATTGAGTACCAGAGGCATCCGATTCCTAGCGCCCCGACGCTAGCTAAGACCTCAATTTCAGTGGGAATGCCCTTGGGGCCAGTTCCCGCGTATCGAAGCGTACCGCCAAAGGCTATTAGTCCTTACGGGAACGGTATGGTAAGTGGAACGCTCAGGACGGGAGCGATCTATTCTCAGTACCAGTCGATGACCCAGCCTACCGTCGGGTGGGGCCAGGGTGGAGCGCTATCCGCTTGACCAGCAGCTCCTGTAGCACCGATGCATGAGTATCCGGATCTGCCTACGATAGGGATGCCTCTAGCGGCCAGAGGAGCCTCACCGACGTATATGAGAAACCGAGGCCTCGAAGGAAGCGCCAGGTCTCAAGGTGCTGAATATCGACGCGAGGGCGTTCCAGAACGCGCCGATTACCCTCGTCGAGCCGTTCCTTACGTCGGTATCCCGAACGAGTTGAGGAACGCCGTAAAGTTAGTCGTTCCATTTTACTCGGAGACGGCTACGAACGAGAGAGTGGCAGCTTTCTGGCGTTCTTTTGAGAGATGCACCTATGGGATGGACAGCCTGATGCGATTGGCGGCGTTCGAGCAGTGCCTCGGAGGTAAAGTGGGTCAGGAGTGGTGGTATAACTCACGGATCGACAGTTTCGAGACCCTTCGAGTGAAGCTCCATAACCGATTCATCGGCCAAACTCCTGCACAGCTCTGGAACCGCCTCAAGAATGACAAACGAAGTCGCGGTGAGTCGGCTGAAGAATGGGGTGATCGTCTCTCGACCATGTGTGAGGCCCTGAACTATCATGAACCTCGCATGAGGTACAAGTTCTTCCTGGACAGCCTGAGAAACAAGCAGATGAAGGCGGTGCTGAATGGCAATATGGTTGCGACGATCCGAGAGACCTGTGACCTGCTAATTTACAAGAATCTGCACATGCCAGTCGAGGAAGAGGACGAGATTGCGGACGATGGAACGCCTGAGACCCGCTCAAACAACGCGAGCTCGACGCAGTCGCATATGTTACAGCAGTTACAGCTAATGAACCAGTCCATGCAGAAACAGCTACAGGGGGATGGGGTGCAGCAAGGATACATCAGTGCGGTGGCGCCTCC